ACAAGGACCTTAGAAAGTTTATGTTGTTATGTATCGAATTGACAAAATTACCCCATCTAACAAAATAAAGTCAATGTAGTTTTTGTGTACTCTCATTCATGTTTGATTTTCTAGTTTGTCTAGTTTTCAAATATTTTATGCCATCTTAAAATTTGTTTACTTGCCTTAAAGTTCTGAATAAATGCAGTGAACCATTAGAATAATTGAAGAGTCATGCAGAAAAGTAAAAAAAGAGTTCTACTTATTCCATGATACAAAAATTGAAGCACATATGTATGGGCCAAAATCCCAAGTGGATATGAGGTTTTTGGTGTTGATGAAGTAGGCTACTTTCCTACCATTGTTAATTCTTGAAAGTATATCGCTGATTTGCTTTTTCTAGGTCAAATTGGGAGAACCAGGGTGGAAAGAGAGGTATTATGAAGAAAAGTTTTCTGGAGATTCTCCTGAAGAACTTGATGCGATACGAAGAGATGTGGTAAGTTATTCAACTTGATTCCCTTGATAGGGAAGGATTGGAAAATGATGAAAACGTTCCACTGTTATGAAAATCAATAGTTAAGGTTGATAATTTAGGGAGAATTGCCCCATTATATATGTGACAACTAGAATGTTCTACTTTTCTATGCTCATGCAATGTGCTGAAGATACGATTGCGCGTACGAGTAGTAAGTTCACTGGCTAATTGATTTCTTGCAGGTCCTGAAGTATACAGAAGGATTATGTTGGGTTATGCACTATTACTACGAAGGTGTCTGTTCCTGGCAATGGAAAGTCTCTGTCCTTTTCTTCTTTTTGGTTCAATTACAGTTTTCTTTTCTGATTGGATATAGAAAACAGGGGAAGTGCCTTGCTGCTCTGTTTTGATTATGGTTCCAGAGCCACTTGCCTTTTCCCTTTCGCCAACTATGCATTGAAAGATCTAGTGTTTTCAAATATATAGAGTTTATTTGAAATAGCAACTTATGTTTGAAGGACAAATATATAGTTTTCCCTTTGACCAACTATGCATTGACAGTGTAATGTAATTCCTGCAGGTTTTATCCATACCATTACGCACCATTTGCTTCAGATCTGAAGGATCTTGGACAGTTGGACATAAGCTTTGAGCTAGGAACCCCATTTAAGCCTTTCAATCAGTTGCTGGGGGTTTTTCCTGCTGCAAGGTTGGATTGATATCTCTTGTGCTTTAGTTTACTTTTTATGTCTTTTTGGTGCTCTAACTGGGTTTATCTGCAGTTCTCATGCTTTACCTGAGCAGTATAGGAAATTAATGACTGATCCAAACTCGCCTATAATCGATTTTTATCCTACTGGTATGATTAAATGCTTTTGTACATGATGATAGTATGCTTTTATGTCCTAATATAAAGAAGCAGCGCTCTTATCTTTCTTGCTGTCCCTTTTTGCTCATTAGACTTTGACGTGGACATGAATGGTAAACGGTTCGCTTGGATGGTACGTACATCTTACTTTTTAAGATTTAGATTCTATTCTATACATTAAAGCTAAATTGCCTTTCATTGACTTTTGTCTTTGCTCTTAATCTCAGGGTATTGCTAAATTGCCTTTCATTGATGAGCGGCGTCTACTTGCGGAGGTGGAAAAAGTTGAGCACACACTCACGGTACGGCCACTAGCTCGGTTCTGGATCATAAATTGGTTTGGTATATATAATTATCTCTGCTAAGTATCTAGATTATCATTATGCAGGAAGAGGAAGCACGGAGAAACAGCGTACTGTCCGATTTGCTTTTCGTGTCAGTGTCACACACGCTATCCCCATACATATTTTCTCTCGATGATCGATGTAAGCAGCTGACGGACAAAGAAAGAGTTCAGGTTAAGGAGCGGATTGATCCAGCAGCCAGGTTTGCCTCTCTAAAATTGCTTTTGCATGAACCTGATCATATTCATACCTAAATTTTAAGGTTGTCGGATATCATTCTTCGTGCTTGGATACATGCGGTTCCAACATAAGTCATGTGGACAAAGGACACGAAGGATATGATTCATGTTTTATGTGTGAACTTTTCAATGGATTGATCTCCATTTTAACCGAGCCGGACATGATCGACTGAAAGTGAATTCTTCATTTTGTTTAGTTGACATTTTAACGGAATATATGAAGTATCTGTAAAGATGTTATTTATCTATTTCAAAAGCATACTTTACAGCTTGGAACCACTTGGTTATACTTCAAAGGCATGCTTTACAAACTGATTTCATTCTACTACGTGGTTGATGTATGTATATGTGTGTATATATATATATATATATATATATATATATATATATAAAATGTTGCAATTAAGTAAACTGTTTTTCTATGAAATGGGTTTCTAATAAATCAAGTGATAAGTTGGAATATTATGTGGATCTGTGTTCTGATGTTAACTAGGGCTACATGCAGTGGTGGAATGAATGGCTACATTTCCCTTTGCTCTGGCGATCCTTGCCCTCCCGTCTTCAGATCACCTATTTCAGGGTTGGAAGACATTATGAACAACCAAGTCATGTAAGCTCCTATTGGGCATCGGCAACTATCAGAATATGACGTTAAATTTCTTCAATGTTTTCATCATCACTCGTGGCTTCTAATATTTTTATTATTTTTGTGATCAGATGTGCAATATATGGACTTCCAGATGTTCATAACCACATTCCTCGACCGCCGCCAGGTGTTACGTTCCCAGAGAAGGTGACAATGTTACTTGTAGCCTATATTAGTCATAATCAGTTCACTTTAGGATAGATGAGCCAATAAGAATAATCATTTCACTGCACTTTTTTATCGAACCAAACTGAATGTACCAAAGTTACATGTTTATCTGTTTTGGCCAGAATTACACTACATGCAGCCTTTACGTTAGTTTATTACCATTCTGCTGTCTGACTTTGTTTATCATTTTGACATGCAGATTGTAACCATTGGTGATCTAAAACCAGCTCCAGTACTTTGGCACGAGGATAATGGAAGGAGGCCGTATGACAATGGAAGGTACAACAACAACAATAACGGACAAAGATATGACCACAACAATCACGGACAAAGATACGACAACAATCACGGACAAAGATACGACAACAATCACGGACAAAGATTCGACAAGAACAACAACTACAACCAAAGGTTTAATAATAATAACTCAAACGGACACAGATACAACCTAAGGTCCAACAATAACAACTCAAACGGACCACCCATATCCGACAGCAACGCATGGTACAACAACACAAACGGGCCGCCCAGATCCGATATCACAAACGGAGCCATATCCGGTCGACAGCTCGGAGAAGCTGCACACCGCCTTGTTGTTAATAGTTTACCGGTAAGGCCAGAAACGAATAGCCGCCACGCTGGTCCGGCACACCACCCACACCCTCGTGCAGCAGCCGTTGGATATGGACTGCCGCCACCTAATCAGCCTCTTCCATACCCTGCGGGAGAAGTGGCCATGCAAACTAGCCCAGTCTATTCTCACCATAGACCTTCGAGCTCGGTTCCTTACAGACAACCACCATACGCCGCCGCCCCACCGCCGCCGCCTACTCACCACAACCCACATAATAATAGATTCCCGGATTCTCGATATGGATCAGACGACAGGCCTGCAACACATGCTAGGGATAACCCTCGGCATGGGCACTATGCTCAAGGTGGTAGACATGGACAAGCGCCGCCTCAGCAACATGGCTATCAGCCATATCCGCCACCTCAGCGTGGGGTTCAAACTCCGATTCGACCGGGGGTTCAAACTCCGATTCGACCGGGGGTTCAAACTCCGATACGACCGGGGGTTCAAACTCCGATACGACCGGGGGTTTACTATCATGAACCGAGTGGTGGATCCAGTAATACAGAAGGTGATAAGCCCTACGGGGGTGGTTATAACAACAAGCGTGGTGGTGTGCCGTGGGCTCGTGGCGGTGCAGGCAGAGGATATAATGGTCCTCGACAACAGGGAAATCAATTTTCGGCTTTGGGTAGGGGAGGAAACAGAAGGCCCCCACAATCGGATAATCGCAGATAAGAGGGCGGTTATTTAATTTTCAAAATTTTTCGTTTCGCTGACCTTTACCTTGCGACTGTGAGGACAGGTTTGTTGATTATAATGTGCAAGGGGTTTGTTTATTGAGGTTTTTAATTTGTACTATAAATTGGTGTTTTGTTTTTCACATTGTAGACTAGATTGGACTTTTCGGATAATATTGTGGGGGACAGGTTAACTGCGGTGGCGACGAGGCTGATATGGTTAGACTGAGTGGCTGATATTATGTAGTAGGGGTAGCTTCGTCCTAGGAAGGGTGCTTTATTTCCTTTTTCAAATTCTTTATATTTGGTTTCATTTTATGTTTTTTTACAGTAGCTCTGTTGTGTAGTATACATTTATACATGTAAGCCTTTCTAAATTTTGATCTTTCTCTATCCAACTTATGTGTGTGTGTGTGTGTGTGTGTGTGTGTGTGTGTGTGTGTGTGTGTGTGTGTGTGTGTGTGTGTGTGTGTGTGTGTGTGTTTATATCTTTATCCAGTATAATGTATGAGCCTTTTTTTTATAGTGATTTTTTTTTTCAATCAGTGCATGAAATGAATACTTTGCATCATTGCATGCGTTCATTGTGACGTCACCTGTGACTTAACTAGATATAGTATTTTCAAACTGAAATGCTAAATCCCACACTGATTTTACCAAATCATGTACTAATTAAAAATATTTCTCTCTAAAATATTATTTTCTCCTTCCCCACTCTTCTTCTTTTTACCTAACTTTTTCACAAAATTACACATTAAAAAAGTTTCTAGCATTTTATGTTTGAATTTGACAAAAGTCTTTACATGTTCAAACTAAAATGAAGTTAGAATCTGTGGGGAAAAAAATTCAAATTGATATGAATTTGAATAATAAAAACAGTTTAATGAAATTGAATAAATGTTGAATAAAGTTGAACTCATTTTTTATAATTATTCACATAAAAAATTAATGAATTTTGAGTGGCTTGGATAAAATTATTTTGGAGAGAAGTTAGAGATAATATAAGCAGAGAAATGATTTTTTTAAATTGAAGTGTGAGATTTAGTAAATTTTAGTGTAGGATTTAGCACGCCCCATTTTCAAAATAGCAGTTGCTTTCTTGTACGAGTCTTTGGACAGAAAAACTGGTCATGCTTGAATACAGGAAACTGCATTCAACTATCTTTGCTTGCCCGGTTATTTTCGAGTATACAAGAAAAGAATCGAAACTGCCGAGAGAGAAAAAAGACGAATTCTGATAGATATATATCGACTAAATCAAGATATAGTTTGTCACATTATGTGTCGTCCAATTACTGTGGAGATTAACGTCGTTTAGTTTTGCTAATAAATATAGTATTTTTTTTACTTTATTTTTTGAATTCCAATTGTTTGCATCCACAAGATCAGGTAATTCCTAATGCTACAAAATCTTGAATTTTTGATGTTATGTTTTATCACAACAGTAACAAATTATGCTGCTCACAAGTCACAACCTTGTTTTTTTGGACTAATGTACTAGTTCCATTGTTCTTTGATATATATGTGAATATTATTTATATAAGAAAAAAACTCACAATCAATCATGTGTACTAAATCTCTCTAATGCATGTGTACAAAACAATTCGTTCTCCAGTAATAATTCAGATCGAACTTGTATCGTTAGACTCTGCATTCACCTTACTCAACCGACCATACTTTGTGTGTGTGTGTGTGTGTTTATATATATATATCCTAATGACTAATATATATTGATTTATGAAATGTAAGTTGTTGGAGCCAGATTTCTACCGATAAAGAAATCCGCCTCACTTGGGAAGTAAAGATTGACAAAAGATTTGTTCCCATGTTTATTTTGGAAATTTAGAGTCCTACCTTTGTAATACTTTAGGACTTAAATTTATTTCCTAGTACTCTACTCTTGTTAGGAATCTTTTATAGTTATCTAGATTATTACTAGATATTGATTAGGATTCTGTTTCCTAGTTATTCGGTTCCTTTGGAAGGTAAGTCTTTGGAGGCCGACTTCACGCCTATATAAGGCTCCTCGCCTCACAAAGACCGTGACACTTTTGTTGGGAGAAAAATCACTCCATAGCTTTGAAGAATCGCTGAAACGCTCTGCTGAACAGAACTGTGCTATCGTTGGATGTGTCAACTTATACAGATCTGCTATATAGATCTCTCGAGAGATCAACCGCAACCGCGTTACTGAAGGGAGTTCAGGCCAGAAAGGAGTTCTAGGCACGCAACCGCGTTACTGAAGGGAGTTCAGGCCAGAAAGGAGTTCTAGGCACGCGGTGTGGAGCTGCTGTTGGAAGAGACACGGAGTTCGAGTTATGTACAAGAACGGCATATTACATAAAGATGGAGTCTTTAGTGTTTTTATTAAGTCCTATTAATGTACACTATAAATCTGAACTAGTGAAATCGTGTTTGCAGGTCCACGTGGATATCAGGCACAATTGTGTCTGAACCACATTAATTCTTGTTTTCTGTTTATTTGCTTTAGTAGAATATAACTGTGTTAACACAAGAATTACAATTGTAACTAAAATCTTGTTTCAACTAAACATATTGTTACAACTTAGAATTACTGAATTTATAGACATATAAACTACATAAATAATGACGGGTGCAGGACACGTGGAGATGACAAAAAAGTCAAGGAAATCGGCAAATGGAGAAACTCAATTTAAATTTGTACATCTCTTTAAGAAAGCCATATGACCAAGCAAACTAAAATGGAGGGGATTACTCTAAAAGGTCACACACTTTCCTAAAGTAATTTTGTCACTCCCCCCACCTTCCTGCATTACCTACCAAATTCAAATTAATCCATTTCAATTTATTCCAACTTCTTTTTTTTTTATATATATATATTGGGTGGTTAGGTTTTTTCTTCTACTTCTCACTTCTATATTCTCTCTTTATATATAAGATAAGATAATATATAATCTTGTTTTGAAGATTAGTACTATTCTTAACCACACATGCACTATGATGACATTAATTGTGATATTATAACTTAGTTTATTTCTATTCTTTTCTTTATTGGGTTGTCAAAACATTGATCTCACCCTTTTCCCCATGGCCAATGCAAACAACAGAATCTAGAGAGAGAGAGAGAGAGAGAGAGAGAGAGAGAGAGAGAGAGAGAGAGAGAGAGAGAGAGAGAGAGAGAGAGAGAGAGAGAGAGAGAGAGAGAGAGAGAGAGAGAGAGTAAACATTTATGTGTAAAACTCCTAAGCCACGGAATGAAGATCAACTTGGCAATAAATTGGAAGGTGTCACATAGTGCAAATAGGGGTTGGTAGTCTTAATATTTCAAAACCAATTATTAAATTTAAAATATAAATACAACATTTAACGATTCAATTAATCAAACAATAAATGAAGTAGGATGATTTATTATGAGTACTACTTAATCAATATTAATTGTATGTTTAATTTGAAATGAATTTGTGATTTTGTGTAGATAAGATGAAAAACAAATGATAAAGTATGTCCAAAGAGTCAAATTACTTGTCACTTGATTTTCAGCTCTACTAAACCTCGTTCGAACTTGACTCGATTGCTTATTACACTAAACTTGAACGCAACTTCAGCATGTCGATTAAACCCAAACGAACTTGAACAAAACATCCGTTCGTCTCGATTCTATTCAAGTGGTAAGTAGTTAGCCACAAAAACAATGTAAAGAATGTGGATTATATGACTCTAAACTAATATAAGAGTGGGGATAAGAATATAATTTGAGACAAAAGTGGTATAAAGACAACAACTTTTTGTGCCCAATTTGTATGACCAAGAAATTGTAGTGAACGGTTCAACGGTTCAACGGTTCTAGTCTAGTAAAGAAAACCTTCATATGAAAATGAAATATATATATATATATTAAATTTGACTTTAAGATAAGATTAGGTTTTTTCAGTTGGAATATTCCCTCATGTCTCCCACCTATTGGTAAATCACATTCATTAAAGACACATTCTTTGGTTCACGGGACCTTTTATTTAATTTTGTATTTTCTTTATTTTACTTTTTTAATTTTAATTTTGTTAATAATGAAAATTGCAGAAAAAAAGAAGATAAATTGTCAAGAGATGTTTGGCGTAAAGTAGTTACCTTTCTTTTTTGGGGTTTTCATAATAATCTTCGACAAGTTGTTTTCATTTATTTTAATTTTTAGAGGAGAAGACTTTTTTTCTTACCACTAAAATAGAAAAAGAAAAGAAAAAAAGAATATTAATTAATTTGCCCATGATTGCATTACACAGTCACCACTCATGTATTTTTCTTAATATTATTCAATTAGTGTGTAGATTTTAGAGTTAAGGATTGTAATTTATAAGAGAAATTTAATTTTGTTTTAGGTAACTTATTTTATGATTGAATGATTCAAACATCAAGTAAGACAGAAGCTAAGGTAGAACCGTTATTAGGAATGAAAGTCGGACGGTTCAGATCGAATATAGGACTTTTGTAATTTTGTTTTTTATTTTTTTTTGTAGCGGTTGTGAGTTTTGCGTAACAATGAAAGTCGGACGGATCAGATCGAAATTAGGACTTTTGAAAAATTTGTAATTTTTTTTCGAAAGTGGAAAACTAATTCTATTTATGTTCCATAAAGCTCTTTCCAAAATCCAAAAAAATCGATTCGGAATTGGCAGACTTCAGAATAATATTGATATTATAAGTATAATTTCAAAAAATAATCAGAGTTTTCAAAAATAATTTTGGAAATATAAATTAGATCAGAAACCGTAATCTAATATGTATTCATTCCCATTAAATTCCAAATATTATCAGAAAAATTGAAATCAAATATATATACGAAATTTGGATGAAAAAAAATATTTAAAAATCCGATTCCATAGTATTCGAAATTTTCATTCCAATTTCCACGCGTTTTGCCCATGAAATTAAGGTGTGGCCTCCAGTCACGTGCACGTGCACCTCAATACGACACCGTCGCAACAACATTGTTTCACCTTACTCAGGTGGGCCCACCAACCTAAAGGCCCATATGATTGCTAAAAAAAAAATTAAATTACACATTAAAATATTGCATTAAAAATAAATTTTAAATTATTAAGTTTCTTTAAATATTATATATGAATACTTTTGAATTTATGAAATCAAAATCTTATGAAAGAAAAAAATCAAAATAAAAAACCCATAAAGAGAAAATGTGAAGGCAGGCCCCTTTCTTTGTCTATAGGTTTCCGATTGAAAATGACACAATTTCACAAACGAAATATAAAGAATAAAACAAAACAAAATTTAAAAAGAAAAAAAAAAAATAGTGACACGTGTAGAGATAGTATTGGCGAAGAACAAAGGGAATTTGGATATAAAAGAAACTATACTCTCTTCATTCTTTCCTATACAGTTTTCCTACTTAAAACACTTTTTTTTTTCTCAATCCCAAAATACAAATATTTAAATTAAATATATATATTTTTTGAAATTGAAATTAAAATAGTTAGTGGCGTGTTTGGTTAGATGGAAAACAAAGCGAGAAAATCATCAAGATTCAAGAGGATTTGTGTCTTTTGTGGCAGCAGCCCAGGCAAGAACCCTAGCTACCAGCTTGCTGCTCTCCACCTTGCCAAACAACTGGTAATTAGTTATTATTACATAGTAATTAATTAAACTGTACGATTAAGATAAATATTGACGTGGAAATTAATGTTTAATTGAGTAATTAATTATGGTAATTAAGATAGTAATTAATTATGGACAGGTTGAATGTAATATAGACTTGGTATATGGAGGTGGCAGTATTGGATTGATGGGTTTGGTCTCCCAAGCTGTCTTTGATGGTGGCCGCCACGTGTTGGGGTAATTAATTAATTTATTTTATTTTATTTTATTTATTTCTTAAATATTTATGATTATTTTTTATTTTTTTATTTTTTTATTTATTTTGGCAGGGTAATTCCCAGAACTCTAATGCCTAGAGAGGTAATTTTTTCAGATATTTATAATTGGTGTTACGCATCGTATTTTAATTTTAATATTATATTATATAAAAATAATAATTTTAAACACGAGAATAATTGAAGGGTAAAATCGTCATTTCAGATAACCGGAGAACCGGTCGGAGAAGTGAGGGCAGTGTCCGGTATGCACCAGAGGAAGGCAGAAATGGCTAGACAAGCTGATGCTTTTATAGCCCTACCTGGTAATTAATTTCATTTTCTTATTTAATCATTGCATTATTATATTTTATGTTAATTTATTAATTAATTCATTCATTGGATTTTAGTGTGCCATTTTCCTTTGTCTCGCCTTAATTGTTGCATTCAAATATCTTACTACGGTCGGGACCAACCAAATTATTTTAATTTAGCGAAATATCGTTATCCTTAAATTGAGATCGGAAAAAAATATTAATTAAATATAATTATTAATTTATCGAGTTTCTGCTTTTGTACGGTGCAATCATATCAAGAATCCGTGCAATGCCAATTTGGAATAATAAATTTGTTTTAAGTATTACTCAAAAAATGATTCAACATTAATTTAAATGGTCCCAATTTTTAATGGGCTAATTAAAAATAAAATAAATAAATAAATAAATTGCAGGTGGGTATGGTACTTTGGAGGAATTGCTAGAAGTAATCACTTGGGCTCAACTTGGAATCCATGACAAACCGGTAAATAATTAATTAATTACAAATAATCACACTTATATTTTAAACAATTAATATTTTTTTAATTAATTAATGTTAATTTTAAATAATTAACTACAGGTGGGATTACTGAATGTGGATGGTTACTACAACTCACTGTTGTGTTTCATAGACAAAGCTGTTGATGAAGGGTTTATTACACCATCTGCCCGTCACATAATTGTATCTGCCCAAACTGCCCAAGAACTCATCTCTAAGCTTGAGGTACACCATTCTTTAAATTCTTTTTCTATAATAAAATTAATTAAATTTATGGTCTTAATTTTATTTATTTATTTATTATTTTTGGTTTAGGACTATGTGCCAATACACAACGAGGCTACACCTAAGTTGACTTGGGAAATGGAACAACAATTGGGGTATACCACAAAATCAGATATTGCTCGTTGACCAAGATATATTTCAAAAGTCTTTTAGTCAACGTAAATATATGATTTTATTTTTTATTTTTTTTAATAATCAATAGAAACGTGCAACATTTTAGAAGCTAAAGTCTAGGGGATGACGATAGCTCTATAGTCAGTGACCGAGTCAGCATAGTCCTATTCGAAAACATATTATTTGATTTAGCGATTTGTTATTTTTCGATTATTGCAATGTTACGTTTCCCTTGATTATTTTCCCATTATTTATCAAATGTTATCCTTGATTATTTTCTCCATTTTTAGTGGTGTTCTAAATAAAAAAAAATAAAAAAAAAATTGTATGGAATAATTTAGTGCTCTTATTATTTTTCATCAAAATTCACTTTATAAAGATATTTAAGACATTGTGTAGAATATGAAAGGGGGGAAAATACAGATTTCGCCCCTCAAGTTTACATCGATTTCACATTTAGTTCCCATATTCACAAAAACACACATTTGGTCCCTTATGTTTCAGAAATTCAATATTTTTAGTAATTTCGGTCAATTTTTTGTTAGTACTAACATAATCAAACGTGTGCCAATCACTGTCTTAATTGATGGAAATAACAGAAAGTGTTATATTATTGAAACATGACTCATGACTCATGAGGGACTAAATGTGAAATTAGTGCAAACTTGAAGGATGAAAAATGTAATTTTCACACCTATGTAAACTAAGAATGTTTTTGTCCAATTGACTTGCGTCTTCAACTATTCCAATTGAAATCGCATTTTGTCTTAGTGGGATTTGACTTTATAGTGCATTTAGGGAGGCAAAATTGAAAACAATAATAGAACTATGTTTAATCTTATCTAAATTCCAACACATATGCAAAAGGACTAGGATTTCCAACAATGTGGTATTGAACATGTGCAAAAAAGCATATATAATAATAATAAATTAATAAATGCACCAATTATTATTACATTGTTCCAAATTCAATAATGCAAAGAAATCAAAGACCCCACTTCCTATATTAGCACTTCCAAGTACAAAAAGGGTACACAAATAGACTTAAGACACTTCTTTTTGTTGGATCAAACATAATACATGTCACATCTTTTGTGTTCCCACTAATTCAAGATGTCCTAAAGATAAGAATTGTTTGTTCATCCACGTTGGATGAACATGCTTGATGCACATTATCTCTCTCTCACACCGTATGTGTGTGATGCAGTTTCATTCAAGTTGAATACCTATCTAACGATCTGAGTTAGACTGTTGCAACTATCGTAAGTAACAATCATGTACGTTCAAATGATGAAAATGTCGTACGTTTGTATTAGTACATGTGCGATGTGGGGCTATAGTCTATCTAGTCCGCATCACTTTATCGCCCTTAGAGACGAAAAGTCTTCTCCGTATCTATCGATCTTGAAAGGTCTCTCGAGCCTAACCTAAATAGAAGGGTTGTTGAAACGTCATGGCGTCGAGGGTTGGTTTCGGTGAAAATCCTCTAATGCTTAAGTTAGTTTCAAAATTTAAGAAAAAAGTGAGAGAATCGTAAGAGTGTTTTAAAGATATTGAAAAGTGGTCCACCTTTAATTACGATAACGTTGGGTGAGCTTAGACATGCCCACGAGACGAGGTTGGTTAGTCATTTTTTTTATAATTGTTTTCCTTTTGTAATTATTTATGTACCTGTAAATACCCCTAACCATCTCATTTATGCCGATTCACTCTCACAACTTTCATTTCATTCAATTAAGCCTTCGACGAATACACTATATTCATAATTCACTTAATTTACAAGATAATACATATAAAAAAAGTTATTTACGAAAAAAAATGATAATCTTATGCAAAAGATTGCACCACAGAAGAAGTAGCAACCAAACCAGAAAGAAGCCCAACAATGAAAGCACTATTATACGTGGTCGGTTCGCCCTGCATCGAATTATTCCTCGAATCCACATACGATTCATTAAGAAACGGGCCCCCCACTAGGGCCCCGGTTGCCACGTTCGGGTTGGGGTCGTCCGAATCAAGCCACTTGAACCCGTCTTTACAGCCCGGGTTTTCATCTCCCGGAACCGAGGCTCCTCTATGGTGAACATATTCCGGATACTTATTCCCGAATCCCACAAGATAACTCATTTTCATCGGATTATTCCCCAAAACATAATTTGCCTAACACAAACCGTTACATATATCTAAAATGAGTATTAAGTACTGCAAAATGTTTTCGAGTTTATTGCATTCAGTACCCCTGCGCTATATCAAACTGCTAAAAAAACTCCTCGTGTTATTGATATTAGCAAAAAAAAAAAAACGCTTATAATAGTGAGTTTTTAGGGGGCATTTTGCTATAAAAAAATATGAATCATAGCGATATTTTTGGTAGTAAAAAAGCACGGGAAGTTTTATAGCAATTCGATAAAACAGAGGGGTGTCGAATGCAATAATAAACCCAAAGATTTTAGTAGTAGCAAAGGTTGCAAGAAAATTATTTTACCTGTGTGATTGCAAATTCCCGAAGATCCGAGGCTTTAAAGTTGTCGCCATCGCAAGATAGCTTATCGGTTCGAGAAGTGAGCATGTAATCACTATAAACGACGGCTAAAAAGGCCGATGCCACGGGATGCTGCAACGCGTTCCATTCGCTCACCCATATTAAACCGTCTGCATTTATAAATTTTTAATCATCCATTTTTTCTTTAGAAATTCTAATAGATTATTATATTCCAAGTCGAGATTTCAAGATTACTTTCGGTTCTACTCGAGGTGGCGGATGAAGATTTCGGTATAAGGCCACACATCACAGCTTCCGCCGTCTTCCTATACTTATCGAGCGCATCGGAATTCGACACTTCTTTCGAACCGAAAAAACTAATCCTCGACAACAACACCTTCATCAAAATCGAACAACGTTCTTATTGAAATTTAAATTAAAAATAAATCCATGCCCTAAAAAGTAAAAAATAATTTTTTTTTACCTGAGCTCCCGGGAGTTTATTATCCCAACTAAACCAAGTCGGACTACCCCAATTAGCGAAATCGTCTCCGTTTTCGCCCGTCACGTAATCAATATACGTGGCCTCGCCCGTTGCATGGTAAAGCCAGCTGGCGGCCCACAAAAGCTCGTCTCCGTAGCCGGTGGAATTATAGTAGGTTTGAACATCGGGAATGCTAATGCTGTAAACCTCTCTATATTTATCGGCAAATTGAAATAATTGTACGGCATGCTTAAGAAGCAAGCTCGAATACGTGGAATCGGTTGACTTAAATACGAGATAGGCGGATGCAAGAGCGGCCGATGTTTCGGCCGCCACGTCACTCCCCGGATAAGAAGCGTTGACTTGTGTAAGAGGTCTTGCCTCTTTCATATCCTCTGGCCTGTTCCAACAACCATGGTCTACTTTAGCATTCCCCACCTGCCAAAAAGAAAATGTTCAAAAAAAAAAAAAAAACAACCTTACTAATTTAGGGTTTATTGTATTTAGCACCCCTGGGTTTACTCTAATTGTCAAAAAACTCCTGATATTATAAATATTAGGAAAAATACCCCTATGATGCATTTTTATAGCATAGAACCCCAAAAATTGTTCAAAAGAAATGTAGTTTATTGCATTTAGTACCCCTATGTGACATCCAATTGCCAAAACCCCCTCCTTGTTATTAATATTAACCAAACCCCCTTATATTGAATTTTTTTAGCACACAACCTCCTAAATAGCAATTTGCTAAATAAAATAACACGGGGAGTTTGTTAGTAATTAGAGAAAACACGGGGGTGTTGAATGCAATAAACCCAAAGAAACAACATTATTAATTTGGGTTTATTGTATTTAGCACCGCTATGTTTACTAAATTGTCAAAAAAACCTCTCGCATTATAAATATTAGCAAAATCTTCAATAAAAATTCAATTTTATTACCAAACTACCCCCTAAAAACACACCATTTAGGGGGATTTAATTTGTGCTAAAAAAAGAATGCGGATTTTTTGCTAATATTTATAACACGACATATTTTTGGCAAATTTAGTATAACACAAGGGTACTGAATGCAACAAACTCTTATTAATTAGGTTGAAGCGCGACACGATTTATTTACGGATCGACCTGAATATAGAGGACGTTGGCAGTCGGATGAGAGTTTACGAGATAATCGGTGATCCATTTCAACGAGTTACGAGCGGGTTCTAATTGACCCGCCCCATTCATTTGATCACCGTATTCGAGTATGGCCCACGATAGTACCGTGGCGGTGAACGCCATCGGAAACCCGAATTTCATGTGGTCCCCGGCATCGTACATTCCCTTTGAAAGATCGATTTTCGCTTCGCTACCGTCTTTTAAAGCCGAATCCCCCCTCCAAGGTATCTGATTCTCATCCAATTTCCCAGCTGCAATTTTTAATTCCAATTAATTTTTTTTATAATCATAATAAAATGAAAAAAAAAAACGGAGAGGGAGGAGGGGAATACATTTTTGAATGTCGAAGAACTGCATTGCGATTTTGAGCGCGTCGGAGTATTTCTTCGGGTCGCCGAGAGCAGGCGAACCGGAGCCCCACGTTTTGTGTTTGAGGACCGCGAAAACCGCAAATGCGATTCCCGCCAAAACAATTATCACCAGGAACCAGCCGCAGCACCCGCTGCTGGATCGCTTTCTCTGCTTCATTTAATTTTTTTGCCGGGAAAAAAATTGAAGAACGAATATATATTTTCTCTAACGTTTGAATCCCACACGTGCGGAAAAAGACTGATTCTTGAAACGATGAAGATTCGACCCTGGTATTGATTAATGTGGAGGTAAAATGGGTAATAGGGTTTTGATTTTGAGGAAGAAAAAAATTGAATTTTGGGAAGAAGATTTGAAAATTAATCTTGGAGAAAATAGGGCGCCGAGAAATATTGCTCAACGACGATTCATAGAGGCATTGTTTGAAGTGGAAAGTACTAAAATGACCTTGGTAGTTGATGGTTTTGTTTTTAAGGCGGTGTTTGTAAAAACTTTTAGAAATAGCTTATGAGTTTTTATTTGTTCCTAATCTGATTTTAGATGTACAGTTTAATTTAGTTTTTGCTTCTTTTAAAATAAGTTGATTTAAGCAAAAAATTTTTAAAAAGCACCTCGAAATTGGTTTTTTCTATTTAATTTGACTTTTGCAGCATATTAGTAAACATCGCCAACTTTTAGAAATAAACACTTAATACCCGATTAACTCATAATCACTAAATTATTCTTTTGAATAAGTTTTTTGCAAACACCACCTTATTTCCCAGAAAAAAAATCAATTCTCTTGCAATGTAGTTTACTATGTATTTCGGACACGGAAACGACAATACGAGCATGACCTGAAAATGGGGAAACGGAGTGAAACGTGTAAATTTTAAACTTATAGGGATATATTTATAAATATGCTATATAAACATATATAAGTTTTTATATATTTCCATACAAATATATTCAAAATAAATATTATTATCAACTATCAATTTGCAATTGGTCATTAAATCACGTAAGTAATTAGCGAAACAACAAAAAAAATTGAAAACTTGTTATTCAAACATGTTTCTAACTTTTTAAAAATTGCAAAAAAGTTCAATAGGCTGTCCGGCACGTGTCGGACACGAAACATGTTCGAATTACTGATACGCTGAGAAGTTGAAGTTTCTATGCTACATAAATAGTTTGAATCGAATTCGAATTATTAAACTCCACGAATTAGGACCTTATGGCCATTGATTAATTTATGCTAATAGTTTAATTAAGTAAATAAAAGTAGAAGCGGGCCTAAAAGCCCAATATTCTCATTGAGAGCCCATCAATAAAGCCCGGTAAATTAAACTCACTCTCTCTCGCTCTAAAAACCAAAGATCATAATATCAAGGGTAAATTACAACCACCCTTGAGGTATGGTCAAATTACAAAAACCCCCTCTTGTTTGGATAATTACAACCACCCTCAACTCCTCAAATTTAGTGGAATCTTCGAGATTTGGAATATTATCACTTTTGTACCCATTTTATCACATTCGAACTCTACATTTCGAAGCAAGATGATTATAATATGTGTTTTTTAGCTTGTATATATCAGATTGTGGTGCATCAAAAACTGTATTTTTATACAAAACGAGTACAAACTAGAGCACATTCCACGAAATCTAGATGATTATGTTGAATTTGACACGATAAGGGTGGAGGTGTAAGAAAAAAACATAGTTGAGGGGTAGATGTAATTATCCAAACAAGAGGGGTTTTTTTGTAAATTGACCATACCTCATGGGGTGTTTGTAATTTACCCTAATATCAAATGATAGTTAATTCTTTGAATATTCGTCTCCCTATTTTCACCCATAATCACAATTCTACTCACTTCTCTCAAAGGACCTAAACCTAAAATCTCAAATTCTCTCGACGGCGTCGCCGTTGCGTCGGAAAATTCGGCCGTTCTCGGAATCTCTCCGATGAGGTACGTGTTCTCCTCTTCATTTATTCGATTTTAATTTCGTCTTTTATATACTGGATTCGCCCATTTGCGTCAATTTTTTTTTTTGCTGTGATTGATTGTGAAAACTGTGTGCTGTGATCAATTTCGACGAATCATGCTCACTAGAACCCTGTACGCTGTCGTTTTATGGTTTAGGAGACAATGCCATGCTTGGTTTTTTTTTATTAGCCTTTTTCTGGTTTTTGAACAGTAAAACTATATGCTATGTATTTGTACAAGTTCTCATTTTTCATGGTTTCTTGCTTTATTAATTAATTAGTGAATTATTTTTGGGGAAGGTGTAGTGTTTTTGTCGCAATGTTGTAATGCTCGTAACTCTTTCCACTTTTATTGGATTCGATTTTTTCGTGATAAATGGTCATCAAATTTTGGGTTGTGTCATTGTAGACTAACAGTCGTATCATTGTTTGACGAGTATTTTCACACGTCGCAATTGCTTTATCTGCCGGGTTTGTGGTCTTCCACTATATGACTCAAAAGTAATAGAAAATAAAAAATAAATATCTGTATGTTGATGTTTGTGATTTAACATGGAATTTTTTGTACTAAAAAAGTACACGAGCATCCAATTTAAGAAAGTACACTTTCCCTAGATTTTTGTCGGTGTGATGTGGCACACACTTGCGGAGGAGCAGAGCCAACATTTCGACCGCATATGCAAGTTTTGGGGCGAGGATCCACCCAGGGTAAGTTTGTTCGATTATTTCCCAATTGAAAGATATTAAGCAGAAAAAAGTAGTGACTAGTGATTGATTTATTAATTTTTTTCTTTTTTATGTAAATATATAATGGTTTGCGTGGCTATAAAGATGGAGAGTGAAGCTAACGACAATCAAGCGAAGCAAGAGCGATTAAGGACAAGGTGGACCCCAGAGCTTGACAAGATATTTGCTGACATAGTTGTGGAGCAGATTCAACAAGGGAACAGGCCAAACAATGTGTTTGACAAGAAAACATGGAACCAAATCCGAGAGGAGTTCAATAGGCAGACCAATCTCAGTTTCAACAACAATCAATTGAGGAAACATCTTGATGTTCTTCGCACGCGCTATCACAATCTTCAGTCGTCTTTTATTCAAAACGACGTATTGCAGGAGGATCCTTGCTATGTGGGCTTCGATCTTTGGGAAGATATTGGGGTATGTCACTCTTTTCTTGTCTCTCTTCATATTAACGTTTTATGAAGTGATATTGCTAGGCCTCATTTGGATGGTAAATTAAGCCATGATTGATTTTATAATTTGATGTTATCTGATCTTTAGTTAGGGCTCTTTTTGGTTCATGGATTTTGAAATGAGGAAAATGAAAATGCAAAAGCAAAAGCAAATGAAAACAAAAACAATGAAAATGGTACCCAAGCGAATGAAATCATAGTTTACGTAATCCTTTCATCTTTTTACTTGGTATTTTACTTGATCCAGTGAAATAACTTTTCGCAATTAAGAAAAAATGAGCTCTTATCTTAGGGGATTGTGTATTGTACCTCCACTATTCTTATCTTGACAACCAAACAAGGCCTTGTAGTACTCGATTATGCTGACTTGCAAATCCATCATATATTATTACAGGCACAACCGAAGATCGAACCAACAACAAAGACAAAGGAGAGTCCTATTTACGAGCAACTATGCATAATATTTGCAGACTCGGGTGTCGACGGAAAATACGCCCAATCCAGCCACTACGAAGGACTGTGTCTTGACCCTTCAGGCCCCAAAACTCCACCGACATCGAAACTACTCGAATGCCAGGTGTCATCCCCTCGAAACATCAGCAAGAACACGGCCGATAATAAAAAGAGAAAAGCAGGGTCTCTGCCTGAAAGAAGCAACAGCAACTGGAACCAAGAATTAGGGGATGCAATGGCGGGGGCAATTATGGAAATGATCGATTCTTCGAAGCTAAGAAGAAGATCCGCGGGGCCCACGGTGGACGAGAGATTTACGATCAGTAACTGTATAAAAACATTGGACGGAATCGAAGGGGTCGAAGACAGCCTTTACTATGCCGCGTTGGATCTATTCGAGAATCCTAGTTTCAGGGAGACGTTCGTTTCTCTCAAGAGTAATTCGGTAAGGTTGACTTGGTTGCAGGGGAAGTGTGGCAGCAATGTGCCCATGTGGCAGTTGACTCCTAGCTCTAGTGCATATCTTGGTGGCAATAGTTTTTGAGTGAGAGGATCAAGTTTATATATATAATATATGTTTAACTGGTGAAATGTACAGAATCTTTTTTTTTTTTTTTTTCTTAAATAGAGTTATACAGAGGAGGTTTATACATTAAGGTTTTTTTTATTATTATTAGTAATTGTTATGTAGAGAACAAAAGGATCTTGAAATTTAGAAGATAACTTTTACCTAGTTATTTTTTGGTGGTGTTATCATATGTGGAGATATGAGAAGTGAGGCTTTGATTTTTTATGCATGCATGCAAGTGAAGAACCAAATGAAGGTAGAGTTGTCTTGTTTTCTCTAGTTTTATATTTTAAATGTGATGAGAGCTTGGTTAAATGTCGAAGGGAATCAAATCTCATGGGAAGTTTTTGTAAAAATAAATAAATAAATAAAATAAAACCCAGGGACCAGGGACTCCAGCTGTAATTACGCAGTACATCTAGTTATGGTTCTGGTTTTAGTAATAGAATAGGTAATTTGTAGCTGTTGGAATGACAAAAAGGTCGATATGTCCGAGTGGTTAAGGAGACAGACTTGAAATCTGTTGGGCTTCGCCCGCGCAGGTTCGAACCCTGCTGTCGACGTTTATTTTTTGTTTTAAATTACTCCAACCCTTTTTCAATCAATTTATGCCTGGAATTAGCATTGCTTAATATTGGAAATTGTGATTGGGGGCATGTGTTAAGTCTGGACTGGACCTATTTTTGTGCCTCCATGAATTATATATATAGTATGCGGAGGCGGAGGGAGGGGGCAAGGTTGGCGTTGTGTACACCGTTGAGCAATGGTGTTAGTATACGAGGAGAGATCAGGTTTCAAGCGACGGTCGACAAATTCCTTGTACTAGCTCACTTTGTCTTGTTGTGCGAAAGTGAGGGAAAATAGTGCATCAGCAGTTTCCATATTATTATTGGTAAAAGAAAAAAAAAAAAAGTATCATCTATAAATTGTCAAGAAATATGTATCTTTGGTAATCTTCACCAAAGTCGATATGTCCGAGTGGTTAAGGAGACAGACTTGAAATCTGTTGGGCTTCGCCCGCGCAGGTTCGAACCCTGCTGTCGACGTTCATTTTTCATTTTCTTCCTTTTCTATTTTTGTACTTTGTAATTATATTTATGGGTAAATTACAAAAACACCCCTCTTGTTTGGATAATTACAACCACCCCCCTCAACTCATCAAATTTAGTGGAATCTTCGAGATTATATGGAATATTATCACTTTTGTACCCGTTTTATCCCATTCAAACTCTACATTATGAAGCAAGATGACCATAATATGTGATTTTTAGCTTGTATATATCAGTTTGTGGTGCATCGGAAACTGTATTTTTTACACAAAAAGAGTACAAACTAGAGCACATTTCACGGAATCTAGATGACTATGTTGAATTTGGCACCATAAAGGTGGAGGTCTAAGAAAAAATCATAGTTGAGAGGGGTAGATGTAATTATCCAAACAAGAGGGGGGTTTTTGTAATTTGACCATACCTCAGGGGGGTGTTTGTAATTTACCCTATATTTATTTATAAAACAGTCCTTTTTTTTTTCCCATCATTTTTTCACTTATTTAACAATGCAATGCATTATAATATTCTTCAAACTGTAAACACTCTCTCATTCACAGATAAATACACATAATCTGCCAATTCAATTAAACAAACTGTATTAAGTCATTTCGAAAATACATAGGTTCCCGAAAAACAAAAAAAAAAAAAAAGAAAAAAAAAACGTGTTAATGCCGCGCGAACAAGTCAATAAGGCATCAAAGAATTCCTCTTCTGTATGCTGTCACATTCTCCACACGGTTTAATCGTCATCCTTGAATTCTCTGCTCCAAGGAAAAAAAAACGTAAGCATCGATGCAATTTAATTCGAAAAAAAACCCAAATAAAATCACGGAACTCGAGATTCAAAAGTCTACCCGATTCCAATTTTCAGTTCAGAAAAGTCCCCCTACTGTTCTACATTATTGTTTATAACTCTAAATTTATGATATATATATGATCATAGAATCGAACGGCTGACCTGCGATCAAGGTACCGAGGTTGAATTCCATTGCCTTGGCACGTGGTGCATGTCAAAGAACCAGCCCCGTCACAGTTGATGCATCTAGAAACTTCCTTTTCTTCTCCACCAAGATCAACTATCACATTCCCACTACCCGTGCAGAATCTACATTTCTCTGCACAAAATATGTCGAGACGTAATCTTAGCTGTACATTTTTTTAGCAATAGGAAATGGATATTAAATCAAGAAGCATCGGTATATAAATGTGACTGCACAGATATTTTACGCTCCAATCTTTGATGATCTATTAAGGTTTATTGCATTTAGCACCCCTGTGTAATCCTGAATTGCTAAAAACTCCCTATGAAACTCAGTTTTATAAGCAAACTATCCCCGAAAAATGCATCATAGGTTTTTTTATTGCTAATATTTATAACAGCGAGACTTCTTTTAGCAATTCGGTATTACAAAGGGGTACTAAATGCAATAAACTCTATTATATTATGTATTACTTTTTCCTTAAAGAATTGGTAGAAAAATGAATCCCCTTTCGATTTTCGCTGGCTCATAATAGAATGTTTCGTGGACAAGGAAAGATTAGCATCTTCCAAAAGTTCAAATAGGAAATGATAATAATGCAGTTGTAAGAGAATGCATCATTTTCTTTCGACTACATAACTTAGATTTGCACGACCAAACGGAATCATTTAATCGTGTAAATATCAAGGCACGATTATTTAGTCGTGATTTATAAGCTCCTATATCGATGTAGCTATAATGTCTTTAGGAAAACTGAGCTTGGAATAATGAAATAACAGTCTCACTGCGCATAATTCATTTCGATTATAAACGACGAAACTTACGAGCACCACTGCCATTGCAGGGGAAGCATGGTTGAGTATTGTCTCTTTTCGACTGAAAAATAAAATTAAAAAAAATAAATATTAATTCACCTTTTATTCATAACATATCATGGAATAATCGGATTGAAATTAATTCTAAAAATGAGAACAAAATTAAAAAAGAAGAAGAAGAGGGAAACCCTACAGCACTGTCAATTTGGCTTTCATAGAAAACAGGAATCCCAATCCCAACAGCTACGCTGACTACCCCAACTGTAATTGCCACTATCTGAAATTGACGAACACCAACCAAAATTAATGGCAACATTAACACATTTATTTTAAAATTAAAAAAAAAAAAATCGAGAAAAAATGGGGGAATTTGAATTACTGTGTTCTGGTCGAGATCGGCGGCTCTGATACATGGATACGGAGGCGGCGGAGAGCGTTGAGTAGATGTAAGGGATTTGGTGGGAGAAGAGAGCTTGAGTGGGCAGTACAGAAATGGAGAGTGAAGCCGACAAGCTGAAGAAGACGGCGCAGCAGCTAACATTTTCAATTATTTAATTATTTATTTATTGAGAGGGATTGTTGACATTGAAATTGAGATTTAGCAGAAAGGAAGAAGAAGATTGAAATGTGAGGAGAGGAGAATTTTGAAGTTTCTGGTGTTGCTGTTTGTTTGTTTCAATGGCGGATTTTGGATGGTGTGGGGTTCGTTTCAATCTTCATTCTTCACCAGCCATATTTTTATTTTATTATTATAATAATAATAATTAATAAATAAATAAATATATAAATAAGCAGCTTTATATTATGCAGGTTAAATGGTGATTTTAATTCTGATATAGTGGGCCGTAATAAATAAATATTTTGCTGGATTGGGCCGTTGTAATTTGTGGACCTGAATTTTGCAATAATGCAGTTTGGTCACTAAATTCGGTCGTTGGATAATTGATTAAATTCAATGGTGCATGTATTAATGTTGTTCATTTTACCATTTTACCCCTGTACTCCCAATTGCATCATTCTACTCCCGGGTACTCACTCAATTGCGTCAATCAAGTTTTTCTGTCAATTTGTCAAAAGTCAAAATTAATACCGTTAGCTTTAGTGGTGCAGTGACTTAAATGCCCACCTATCTTCTACACTTTTCCAATACACATTCACAAACATATAATGTCTCTCTCTTTGGCTTACAAAACATAAAAGAATTTCCCCCCCAATTTGAAACCCTAGTAATGTCTTCGACTGTACATTCTCCCCGAAATCTAGTTGATTCACAACAAACGATACATTGAAATAGTGAAATAAGTCAAGAAATCATCGTTCATTTCTCAAACCACAAAAGGTATGGTAAAATATTCTTTTTTCTTCGGTTATGTTAAAAGATCTGCGTTCCTTACTCAAACCACGAATAATATTTTAATTTTTCTGCAATCGGCATGGTTTTGGTTTTAAATTTGTATGTTCTGTGTATATTTGCAGCTATGCACACATTGAAGCTCCATTATGGCGGTATATGTTTTACCAGTGATACAGAGATACTTCATTGATGAGTTCATGTTCCCAATCTATTGTTGCATCTTCGTGTGGTTTGATTGATTCTTACAAAATTGGTTCCTCCTTTGAGAATTAGAGACGAAATAGATGTTGAAGAAGAAGAAGATTGAGAGTTTGGGCATATATAGTTAGGGTTTAGGTAAGGGCATCTATGCCTATTCAGTTTACATCTAACAGTTTCCTCCTTTGCTCTGAATGGAATTGCTAAAAATTTAACAAAAAGACTCGATTGGCACAATTAAGTGAGTACAGAGAGAGTAAAGTGATGCAATTAGAATTACAAGAGAATAAAATTAGACCGATGCCGAGTACAAGAGGTAAAATGAAATTACCATCAACCATATGAAGGAATTAAGAACAAAAAGTTAGGGTTAACTTGGATCTCAATGGGCCTATCAATAATCCTAGTAGGGAATGTAGTTGGTGGTGTAAATGGTACTAATAATAAGACACAATTATTATGATTTATGGACGTAGAATTGAATTTATGATAACTTAATAAGAAAGGGGCTAAATTGGTACTATATAGTATGATGAATTTGGACATGAGAGTGACAATTCAACAACCCTTCATCATTGTAAAGGTAATTAAACCATGTGAGGAATTCTCGATAAAAGAGGACAATTGACCTTTATTTTTATTTTATTTTTCAAACTTTGAAGAAAACGTAGAATACAAGGCTTTTAATTTGAATATATAAGTGAAACCAAAAGTAATGCATGCATATATCATAATATTTTATTTTATTTTAAGCAAATTGATTATGAAGTGGTTCCAGACTTAACGATTGGAGTAAGTGAACTTGTGTTAACCGACTCAAGTTCAAATCCCCTTACTAAATGACGTTAGGTCGAGTTTGTCACACATGAATAGGTTAGAGTGGTTTACTTACGTCTCTTGCATGATTTGCAAGATATATGTTATACGAGTGCATCTATTAAAAAAAAGTATCTACACTAATGGCATATTATAAATGAGATATTCATAATCATTTATAATATTATATCTTACTCTCTTACATTGACATTAATGAAATATCAATAACCATATATATATATATATATATATATATATATATATATATATATATATATATATATATATATATATATATATATATTAATTTTAGACCACTAATTAGTTTTCTTTTTTATGGCCTTAAAAAAAAGTCATGCATGCATGTAGAGTAAGAGAACTTATCCTAGAAAAATAGTAAAGGTTAATGAGTGAAAAGAAAGCTACGATAAGTGAACTAAAAAGCGTGGGTGGATATAATAAATAAGCTAAAGTGCGACTTATGACCATTAATTATTTAATTATTAATAAGAAACTTAAAAGTGAGAATCTTGCAGTTTTTTTTGTTGCTCTTTGGTTGGTTAAATAATATACTTTGCTCCTCATCTACTTATCCACATTCATTTACATCATATCTTACCTAAATTGTACCTTACATATAAATACTCATATATATAACTTGTGACTTAGGTCAGATCAATTAAGGGTGTAAACGAGTCGATTAGTGAGTACAACGGGTGTTTGTAGGTTATTTATTTTTACTTTAATCAAATATCTTGCGATACGATAAACGATACGGTACAATATGTGGGGGGAAACGATAGTGTGATATATTCCGAAAGGAAAACCATGGTTTAGTCACAGAATCACGAGGGGTAGAATTGTGAAATGCTATGAAGAGCGTCATAAGCCCTCACGCTAGAATCGTGCACCGCTTCAACACAGTAACACTGCCCCCTCGTCTCTGCGAAACTCTTTCTCGGATATATACATACATATACATACATACATACATACAAAGTCCGGAGAAATAGATAAAATTAAATTATTCTAAACGACACTTCAAAACCCGGTCGAGTGTCCCTTCTCAACTTTCTCCCTCCACCGACGCACTAACGGTTCGCCGCCGTCGTCGTCCCGTGGCGGCGCCGCTTAACAAACGGCGAAATCCTAACTTTCTGTCGTGGAATTTTTGCATTATACAGGTACTGATTCCTCGTTTACGCTTTACAATTTTTGTAATTCGTTTGATTTTTGGGGTTTTTATTTTTTGTTTGGGGACCTCTATTCAATTTGGTGTAGCAATTATCTTACCAGAAAGTGATATTAGTTTTAATTAATTGATGAATATAATTGATATTATCTCCAGTTAAATTTTCTACTTTCTGGAGTTATTTTTATGAATATAATTGTTCTGAATCATGGAATTTGGAACTGAGATGTAGATTAAACAAAGAGAAGCGGTAATTATTCTTTTGATACAATAGGATTATTTTGTGGCTACTAGTGAACAGAAATCGAAACCTAATTTCGCAATCTAAACGGAAGAATCGTCACATTTCGTTGCTTCAGTCATTATTATTTCTTAGTGTTGAACTGTAGCTAATAAAATCGAAGGCTAAAGAAAAATGGAAAAAAAACATGAATCTGCTTTAGTGAAGCCTTGTGGACAGAAGCAGAACTAAATTTATTTGTTATAATTTGAGATTTACAAGCCCGGAATAAAGTCGTGCAGTCTTATAATTCGTGTTTAACCCGATTCTGTAAAGTGCTGGACTTGACCTAACAAATGTTTTATGTTCTTGGCAGGGATTGACAATGATTGGATCTTTAATCACTAGAGGACTCGTGTATGTGCCGCATCTCCAGTTTCCACTCCATTAAAACTTATGCACCTTTATTTTATTGCACGTGTTAATCGGTTCTCACATTTGTTGCAGGCTTGCATTTGGCTACGCTTATCCTGCGTACGAATGCTATAAAACTGTGGAAAAGAATAAGCCTGATATTGACCAACTTCGCTTTTGGTGCCAATATTGGTATATATATTAGATGTTATATTTTATCCCCGTTCAAATGATTAAGTTGCAAGTTTACACGTACGTATCACTACATCTTTGACTTTCAGGATCTTGGTGGCCGGGTTGACAGTTTGCGAAAGAATTGGTGATACATTCATTGGATGGTAACTATTTTTAAATGGTTCGTACAATAAAATGATTATACTTATCTTTAGATCATATTAAAGTTTTCTCCTTCCCGTATTTTTTTTTTTTCTGTGTATGACTTTGTGAAGGGTTCCAATGTACGGTGAAGCTAAGCTGGCCTTCTTTATATACTTGTGGTTTCCTAAAACTAAGGTCTGTAATCTCTTTAGATCCTTTTTGCGGAGTTTCGTTAGTACCTTTTATTACGTATTTTTGGTTTTGTGTTTTATTAACTAAATTCAATTTCAGGGGACAACATACGTGTACGACTCGTTCTTTAAACCCTATGTTGCAAAGCACGAGACAGATATTGATCGAAACTTATTAGAGCTGAGGCTAAGAGCTGGAGATATGGTAATCTTGTACTGGCAGAAGGCTGCGAGCTACGGTCAGACTAGAGTATTCGACATTTTGCAGTACATTGCTTCACAATCAAGTCCTCCTCGACCAACTCAGGTATGTACGCGAGGACTTCCCGAGACAATTACACCTCAATCTGTAATCTTACTTTTGACTTATCAGTTCAATTTTTAAATATATATGTTTTTCTCCTCGATTTAATTTTGTCTTTGCAGCCACAGCAGCAAGGAACTGGAGTCCAGAAACCAACCACGGTGCCACCAAACCGCACACCAGCTGCTACTGCAACTCAGACGCAGATTGGAGAACCATCTTCTCATGCTTCCGATGCATCTTCAAGCAACCAGCAAGAGAAAACGGCAGAAGAAGAAGCGGGCCCTACAGTAGATTCAAAGGCTACTCTGAACGAACAAAAATCGACGCCAGCACAATCCATTATCGAGTCCAAGAAATCTTCGACTTCCAGTGAAGTCCAAGAAATGCAAATTGATTCAGTGCCAAATGGAAACACAGAGGCTCCTCCTCAGCAAGACATATTCTTGGAAGAAGCTGTGAGGGTGACTCGGGCGAGGTCTAGAAGAACACGTGGCGGCGGCGGCGGTGGTGGTGGTGCACCATCAAATCGCTGAATTAAAAAAGAACGGTGGTGTAAAATAGGGTGATAGCTAAGTAGATATGTTGTGGATTATTTTGATGCTAATGTACATTCCATCGTTTTCAGACTCTTCTATAGTTTCTTGATTCATTACTTCACAAACGATAAATTCATTTTTTAGATCTATAATTTCTTTTAGGAAAAGTAGCCGTTGGTTCTTCGTTGTTTGATAATTGAATTCCTTTGTGGGCCTATTGATGGGTGTGTGCAAATGAGAGTAATTGGATGGAAAAAGAAACATAAAAAGTGTTGAGCAGGTTAAGCATTCGATTAACATCCCTAAGTTGGAATGCTCACTTAATTTATAGACAAACTTAGATTTTATATAATATATAATTTGCTACTCTTTTACATACTTAAAAACATGGTAGTTAAACTCGCGAGATATCGCGATACGGTACGGTTCCTATCAAAACGATACGACTCGAACTCTGTATCAGTATGTTTAAATATCGGTAAATATCGCGAGATATCGTATTGTATAACGATACGACTCGAACTTTGTATGTTTAAATATCGGTAAATATCGCGAGATATCGTATTGTATAACGATACGACTCGAACTCTGTATCAGTATGTTTAAATATCGGTAAATATCGCGTATGTTTAAATATCGGTAAATATCGCGAGATATCGTATTGTATCATCATATCACGATACGATACTAGTCAAAAGATTTAAAAAAAAAAAAAAAAAAATATTCACAATTTTAGGGCTGATAAACGGAATTCAAAATAACCCTTCAAATTCACAACCCTAATCCACCTTTCTCACTTCAACTCAATTTCTATAGATTCTTGTTATTTTTTTGCGATTCAAGTGCGAATTTATGAGTGATAGATTAGTCTCTTAGAAATTAGGGATTCGAATTTGAACTTTGATGATGTTATTTTAAGACCAACCATGATTTTTTCCCTATTTTATAATGCAATTTTGAAATTTGAAAACTTGATTTGACTTTAAAATATTAAATTTTACATGTTTATAGTATTTCTATTATGTAAAAATATATATTTTATTATTTTTAATAGTTGGTTAAATATACTACGATACGATAACGATACGATACACGGAGGAAAACGATACGCCGATATTTACCGATTCGATAACCATGCTTAAAACTACTAATTCAATAGATAATATATTTATTTCATTATGAAGAAAATTAAAAATTAACTCTATGAAAATTAAAACACTAACATAAATTGTCAATGAGGAAAAAAAAAAAAAAACACAAAGTTCCTTCTAGAGTTCTAATAGATCTACACAAAATCACACATACATGGTTGCCAAAATTTTCTAATCGTCACTATCGTTGCACTGTAACTAAAAATAAAGGAGCCCCGAAAGATGAGAAATATAACGATATTCAATATCCAAATACGAGAGTCGCGCCAAACACATAAGTGAAATCCAAAAACACAAAATTGAAAAACCGGATATCCAAATACGAGAGTCGCGCCAAACACAAAAGTGAAAAATCATATATCCTCCCAACAGTCAGAAAATTTGACAAGTAACACCTAGGGCCTTATTTGCTATAGATTTACATCTCAGTATCTAAATATAAGAAGGCCTTACTAGGAAATAACATAAGCTTATTTCTCTACCTAGAAAAAAACTTAACATCTTAGAACCAAAGGGTAAGCTTCAACTAGGGATCTCACAACAAATATCTACCCAGATTTTATCGTTTCCATTTTTTCCCCAAAAATTATATACACAGTCCCAAAAATAATTTAACCTCGATTTTTACCCACATTGTAGTTCGATAAAATTGAAACTCTATATTGAATATTACTACAACTCTTCAGTGCCCCATAAATCTGTTGCACTCACCTCATGTTCTGATCTCAACCAATAATCATCGTCAATCTGTACATAGGAAAAAAACAAATGACTAAATAAATAATCAGATCCGGTTAAAACGATGGGAAAATGGCTCCTAATAAGATGAACTTACACCAGAATCGATCGGGACTATTTTCTGGAAACCGCATCCTTTTGAGCTCGTTGAAGTATCAGGACTCAAAGACAGCTCAGCGTCATCGACCCTGCTGCTATTGGTCCACGTAAATGGATCCATTAATTTCGCACGCTTGACCGATATTTCCTTGTTTTTCTTTTCATTTTTGCTGAAATAATCATAAATCGGCATTTAGAAGTTTGTATGATTGTCCCCCCCTCAATAAATTGTTCTCATTCAAATACGAGAAAAGAATAGACAAATGGGAAACTTCCACAAAACGATTCAATTTTACTATCTTACGATAAATACCTTAGGAGATACACAGCAATTGGTCCGGTGGTGCTTCTTATCATAAGGCTATACTGCTTCTGACAAAAACCAATGTCCTGTGGGAATAAAACCAATAAGGGAAAAGAAAAGGAAAAAAAAGAGCAAACAAAAAAATAATAAGAAAAGACCAATATATAAGCAAAATTTCGAACCGGGGTTATCCAAATACCAACCTCATCAGGATCTGGCACTGCTATGGAGCTTGCACGAGGAGCTTCGACAGCAATGACCGTTTGGTTCTGTGACAAAGTAGCATAAAAATTCATATTTAAAGAAGCATGGAGTGCGGTAATAATAAAAAATAAAAATAAACAATAAAAAAATTTCTCGAAGTTGTGAGAGTTTGCAAACCCTGAGAGATGGAAGGCTCATAATATCGTCCTTGGTTAGAAAAAGATTCCTGCAGAAGTCCGAGTTTACATATGGTTTAGAAAACCAAATCTCACTACTAATATATAGAAAATATATCGGGTGAAACCAGCATACTTTTTACAGTTCTGGTTAGATATCAATTCCCTTAGGCTCTCTTGTTTGTCCCTGAATCAAGATCAGGTGTTAATAAAGCACCACCTAAAATTGTTTATGTATAAAAAATATATGTTCCTTACTATTAATCAGACCTTATTTGATTATCAAGCCTGCATTCTTCTGCAGATAGATGTTCAACTTCAGCCTGTCATAATAATAAACAAAAACTTCTGTAGCTGTAATTCGAGTTTGAAAAAGAAGAACGAGCCACACCTTTCAGAGAAACAGCTAACCGTAAAACAGAAACAACAGAATATTTCACTATAGTAACTTTAAACTAGGAAAAAATATGCTTATTCGTCTACGTATGTGATATTTAAGTTATTTGCCAAATCTTTTCAGTCTGTTGTGCATACATTTTGTCTCCTCAACAAAAAAAGTTATAGTACATATCCTTTTCAAACTTGACATCCACACGATGAGGCGCATATGTTATTAGTCATCCACAACAATAAAATCCCTATAAAACGTAATTGACTCAACTTGGATTTTCCTGAAAGAACATTGAAAAAATTCCTTTTTCACCAAAAAAAAAAAAAAAAAAAAAAAAAAAAGAGAGAAAAAACTTGCTATTTGATTGGTGCACCTTCAAGTAAGAGACGCCATCGTCCAGCTTTTGAGATCCAACAGTTCCAAATCCTCTGTCATGAAGAAGCTCCACAGATATAAGAAAACAACTAGATGAGAAAGATATATCAACTATACACACATAATAGTTACATACTTCCAACGTATGTGATTCTTAGTAGTTTTCTCTATCAAACCAATCCCTTCAAGAACGTTTGTAATATCATAAATTCTCCTCTTTTGGACCTGTAAAATAACCAAAAGAACAATAAGCAAATAGTTTATATACGTACAAGCACTCCAATGCGGTTTACTTAAAACATTAGTCGTATAGAAAGATACCTGCAAAACATCGGCGGTTCTGTTTAGATCCAGAGTACCATCTTTAGCCTCTTGGATCAGCTTGATAAATTTCTTTGTCAACAAGCCTACCAAAAATAATTTTTGGTTTATCACTCCCAAAATAGTTGAAACAGAAACTTCTTTCACACATATAACAGCAGGGTTTAAACAAAGGAGTTTGAAAGAAGGCTAACCTAAAGAACTGTCATACCGACAGCAGCCAGTTAGATTTAAGTTATCACCCGGCTCTGCAAGAAAATAAACATTGTATCAGAAAAAAAAAATCCAGTTTATTTAGAATCAATCATATACGTGCACATGGTAAAATCTCTCTTTACCTAACTTTGCTTCCTTCACAGCATTTTTGTCATGTTTTACAGATTTAGCTTTCTTGCTAGATCTAGCCATCATGTACGCAGGTCCGGGAAAACCATTGTATGCAGTTTGCTCCTGTTTAGGGACTTGGATGCTTGTGTTTCCACATATCTTACCCTCAATACTTGGCTGTTTTCAGAATAGATAAAATCTTCAAAATATGTTATAGAATTTCAATTGTCAACATAATTAGCAACAGGAGCTGAACAGATGAACTGGGTTTCAGGGTGGTAACATGACTGGAAATAAATTTAAAGAGTGAATTATCGAAACATTGAATCAAACCCGCTATAAATGCTCAACCTACTTGATAGCTGAGATAATGTGAAGCAAGTAGATTCCGCAGTTTAATTGGGCCTTTTGTCAGAGGCAGATCAAACAAAGAAAGTTTTTAGCAGTTTCAAATGGTTCTCATGCAACGAATCATCGGATCAGTACTTAGAAGTTCCAATGATGAAATCAGCATTTCAAGTATGTAGCAGTAGCATTAAATAGTTTCGATTATATTCCTTACACAGTCTGGAGTGCATCTGATTTAAGACCAAAGTGTCCTCACCATGTCAAACAATCCAATCAAATACTTAATTGACACGAGTATAAAAGGCCACCATGGCTGTCGTAATATTTCGTAGCTCTCTCATCTTATTATACCATAATTAGCTTCCACTAGAAAAATCTGACAAGTACACTAATCATTGAATTTAACTTTGGCAAACTTCTAGATACATTCCAATATGAAAAAGACTTTCAAAGAGAAATTCCCTTCTTCAATTAGAGAATAAAGAAACAGCGAGAATTAATTACTCCATTATGGATTATTAATGAACTTAAGAAACAAACTGTGACACGTATAACATCGATTTTTTTTTTTTTTTGCCACGAATCCCCATATACAAGTATATATTATATATATTTAATGCGCAGGAGATAGATACAAGGACCATTTCAACAGTAGAAATACTTCATTGCTCACCCAACATTTCAGGAATTTTCACATGCACGATCATTTCATCATTCGAACACTCACAACTCAAAACAGTCATTTGTTAGGATTTTTTTCTTAAGCAACTCTAAATCTGGAAGTCGGACCCCTTTTAAGTACGATAGCACGAGAAAAATAAATATAATCAAAACAAAATAATAATTGAGCACTTAAAACTGTTGAAAGGACATGATAACAAATAATAATCAAGACAATCAGAAACAACCGCGGAAAGGAATTAGAAGGAAATAAATGAAACAGAGAAACACAAACAACTAGTTCTGAAACTGGAACCAGAGATCCCAATCCAGAAAAATAAGAAGCTAACAAGAAAATACACACAAATGAATATGCATCAATACAAACAAATACACACACACACACACACTAAAAACACAAAATAAGAACCAACAACGAATTTAACATGAACAATTAAGAAAAAGTACGCACATCATTTTTTGGAGGCGTTTGAACTGATGTGCGAGATTGCTGAGCAGTAACGCCATTGTTGTAATTAGCAGCAAACTTATCAGAGGCGAGTCCGCAGGAGCTGGCGGTGTTCGACGGTGGCGGAAGGCAAGCAAAACGATTCGACCGGACGCGGCCGAGGCTCGGCGCCGCCTGATTCTCCAACTGCATTCTAGATAGAGGCAAATTCAGGCTCAGATTCAGGTCCAAATTCTCGCCGGAAGTCGACATATCATCACACAAAAAAAAAAATCAATTCCCACTCCAAAATTAAAAAACCAAAAAAAAAACAGAAAAAATGAGGATTGAATGCGAGTGCAGCGTATGGAAGAAGAGGAAAAAAGACGGGGGAAAATGGAGTCTGAAAAGGAAAGAAATCAAATCATAGAAAACCTAAGGCCCAGTTTGGTTGGGCTGATCCGGGTAGATAGTTCCTCTAATCCACTCGGATCTCAGCTTTGGTTGAGCCCAACGAGGTCTGGGATTGCACTTGGGCCCGGGTCCGGATCAAGGATTTACCGGATCTCCCATCAGGCCGAAGGAGGTGAGATTGGGTAATCTCATCCAACTCTCAGCCCAATCAAGTACAGTATATTACCTTTATGCCCTGAATATTTATTTCTAATTACAAGACTACCCCATATATATATGAATTACCCCAAAAATTATTGTGTTAGCCCTAGAATTTTAGCAATACACGCCGTTCTTCGTTCTGCTTTTCTCCACCGCGGTCGGTTTTTTCACCGAGGTAATTTTTCCGATAATCAACTCATCTAGGTTCTCTAACACGCTTCTTTTTTCGTTTTTTAGGCCCCCCCTAAACCGGTTGAAGAATAATCAACTCATCACAGATTGATTTCTTATTTTTCATACTTCACAAGTTTTTTTTTTTTTTTTTTTGGTTTTTTCCGATAATCAACTCATCACAGATTGATATCACAGATTTCTTCAAATGCATCCGAGTATTGTTGAAGAATTTTGGGTTTATATGGGTTTCGATTTTTTTTATTGTTCTAATTATCCGTTCCTTCATCTCGTAATTAAATTTATTTGTTTCCGTTTCGCAGGTGATTTTCGATTTTGGTTTCGTAGTAGTTCGTAGTTTGCCCGGGCTGATTCTGTTATGGCCGAACGATTCCGGTGTTGCAGCTGGTTGACGGTTGGCTGTCGATTATCCCGGTTCTGCTACACGACGATTTAAGGTGAGTTCTCCAATGGATTTAAGCTCTTCTTTTAGATTACAGATTAAGGATTGAGAAATGTAGCATTTATTTGGAAAAACATATTTCATCTTTTTTTTGGGAAAAAGTAGTACATTACCTCATTCTTGGTTGGAAAATAACCATTATTTGGAAAAATAACCAATTAGTGAATTAGAATTAGTTAATATTAAAGTCAATTAGTGAAATAATATATGATGTTACTCAGTATAAATTGTTTGGCCTTAATATTGTTTGGCATAAACAGTATATAAAGAATGCAATTAAGTTGTTTTTTTTGTAATAGTTTACGATAGTTATTTCATCTTTGCTTGCTCTAGGAGTTGGTTTATATGTTTCATATGTTTGAGAGAGATTACAGGGTCTGGAATGTGAAATTTAGTTTTGAATATGTTTTTTTTCCCCCATCCAGTGTAAGTATTTGCAAAAAGAAATGTATGCTTAATCAGATTAGAGGAACAAAAGAATACTATATTAATCTGTTGAGACTAGGGTAGATTGGAAATATGTAATCTCTGATTGTTGTTGTTTCCCTCCGTTCCCTATTAAGTGTCGTTTTTAGCTTTACAAAATGTGTCTTGATTTTAGGTAGAACACATAAAAAATATTAAAATAAACTTGATTATTTAATGATGTGATAAGAGAGAGATAATACTAATAGATGAAGTATTAAGGTTAAAACAAGAAAATATTGTTAAATATTGTTTTTACAATATATATAGGTGGTATATATTGTTTATACAGGGAATCAATATATTACTATAATTATAATCGTGGTATTTTTTATGTTGTTTACTAAATAGGATCACAATTGTTAATGGCGAACACGAGTGAGAAACAAGTAATAGTTTTCGCGGTGTATGAATTAGTCGAACAAATGCAAGTACTGTTAACAATGCTTAGTAGGCTCATCCATTTGCTTCTACGTCGCCGCCGGGTCAATAATATTGTCGGTTCATCGTATAGTATGAGGGGTAAGATACCTGCTCAAGTCCGAAATTTGACTTACATAATTGGAAATCCGACAATGGGTTCTGGAACGGTTACTTAGGTGTGTTGGAACAACACATGGCTCTAAAATTCCCCGGGACCGACATTAAGGCGGATCCTATGATTTTATCAAAGCTTCACGTTTGGAAAAAACAATATGGCTCGCTTTCCCAAATGCTTTCAACGTCGGGATTTTGTTCGAATGAGTCGGCGAACACCATTGATGTAATCGACGATCAAGTGTGGAACGATTATGTTAAGGTATTCTTCTACCGGTTACTATACATTAACGTAATTGAAACCCATAATGCGAACCAATTTAATGCACCTCCTCCATTTTCATTTATTTTGTAGTTCGATTCAAATGCCCGGTTGATGCGCTATAAATCATGGCCATATTTCAAAGATTGGACAATCATCTTTGGAAAAGATCGGGCTACGGGGGAAAGTGCCGAGGCTCTCGCCGATGCGATCAACGATATATCGAAACAAGATAAAGAAGCGGGCGACGATTCAATGGGTGGAGACCACATACCGCAACCTGCCATGCACTCCAACGAGAATGACTCGGAGAACATGTCCTCATTGCACGGTGAAGGTTACATGTCTAACATGCAAGGTGAAGGGACTTCAACCTCACATCAAAGTAGGGGTAAAAAGAAAGGCAACAAGCGTTCCTGAACGATGACCTCGATGGCCGTATCATGGATATGATGGCGGATATGACTAGGACTTTTGCGGAGACTAAAACATGCCTAGGCGAGTTGGCCCACCGTATCGGTTTTGAGCACGATGCGTCAACTACACATGTAAGAAGGTGTTGGATGCCCTATCGCCGTTATGTTTAGGTGTCGAGGATAAGATTACTGTCGCTAAAGCCGTTTGCAATAGCCCAACCGATCTCGACATTTTTTTGGATTAAATGAAACCGAAAAGGGGGTTATGGTTCGAATGATCCTCGAAGGGCGCCTACTTCGGTTAGCTAGAATATCATCCACTCACAAGGTGAAGAAACTTTTTCCTGTATTCGGACCCTATCTTGCGGCGTTATTTGCATTGAAGACATTTCTGTTAGTTTTTCCGTATGAACTTATAAATTTTGTGTATTATGGCCGATTATATGTCTGTAAATATTCTGTTAGTTTGGAGCTACTATGCCTAAATGGTAAGCTGAAAAAATATTTTGTTATTTAGGAGCTAATGGTCAATTTTAAACAGGTTCACGGGTTGTGTAATATTCCAAGGTTTTTGTCAATATGCGTGTGTTACATTCACACTGCAACAGGTTATAGTTGCAGGCCTTCGTGCAGATTTTTGTCAATACGCATGTCTTCGTGTTTTTTTTTTTTTTTTTCATAGTAATTGGTTTATGCAATTGCGAAAGTTTCATTGTGCTCGGTCATTGGTTATAGTGTGATCAATTACAACTTTAAATTCTATATGAACAAACATCTGTATCAACAAATTTAAATAAACAATGTTAAATATATAAATATGTATTAACTAAGAAAAACAGTAGTATGAACCAAATGTAAACAAACAATATTAATATATACTATCGCCCATGGGTACGAAAATGAAAATTAAAATTACAAACCAAAATACAAAGTCAGGAAAATCAAATACTAATATCGAAAATCTTGCCGACTACATGGAAGTGGGAAAATAATACGGGAAATACCAATAATAATAATACGGAAAATATTAGGAAAAACTAGCCGAGATAATGGAGATTGGAAAATTTGAACTCCCATTGATCAATGGAGTCTTCAAGTACAACACATGCGTCAAAGTATGACCTAGTAATCGTTTTCCCCGTCGATTGGCCCCTTGCCGTTATCCTTATTCAATGGGTGCTGCAAAGAAATATTTTACAGTGTCAGCTGTATAATATAAATAAATATAAAGGGGTTGCAAGGGGTGGAAATGTAATTATCCGAAAATGTTAGGGCTGCATAATTACAGTAAACTGGGAGGAAAGAATGGGTGGTGTAAACAATATTTTTAATATTGTCAGGTGTATAATATAATAATAAAAAGGGCTTGCAAGGGATGTAAATGTAATTATACAAAAATGTTAGGGCTGATTTTGTAATTAAAAGTGAATGGGAGAGGAAAAGAATGGGTGCAACAAGCAATATTGTAAAAAATACTGGGGTAATATAATATTAAAAAGGGATTATGAGGGGTGGAAATGTAATTATCCGAAAATGTTAGGGCTGATTTTATAGTTACAGGAAAATGAAAGAAAATAATGGGTGCAGTTTGCAATAATTTAAAAATTTCAGATGTATAAACTAATAATAAAAATACCTTCCAAGGGGTGGTAATGTAATTAACCAAATTATCCCACCCAATCCTCCCAACCATTCCTGAGATTGGCTCATTCGGATTCAATCCTACAGTTCCATATCCAACCAACCAAACCCGAGATACCATCCATACTTCACTAATCCATACAGTATCATTTTCCAATTAAGCCCCAATCCCATCCCACCCCATCCCTCCAACCAAAAGGGGCCTAAAGAAATTGAGGAGAAGAGGTTTTGATTGGGAGGGGTTTTGCAAATTGCAAAACAGCGGGAGTGGAGGCGCTGAGTTCGAATCGACCCGACCCGACCCGGCCCGGCCCATATCTTCTTTCGATTCTCGTGTGGACCTCAATAAGGGGTCCAAGCTCATATTAGTTTGTTGACGAGATTGATTACATTGGATATGATTATATTATTGAGTTAATAGCACACAACCCCCTGTTCTATTTATAATTGTTAAAAAAGTCCTTGTGATAAAATAATTAACATATACCCCTTATCTTGTACTTTATATTGCACATCACCTCATTTATCATATTTAATTGGTTGAATCGAATGAGAAGGACAAAATTATCCTGAATTTAAAATAAACCAGAATGCTCCAATTTAAAAAAATCGTGAAAAAATGAAAAAGAAAAAGCAAGAGCAAGACAGAAGTCTTCTCTTCCCCGTCGACTTATCCACCATTTTCTTCTTCCCAGAATTTTTCTCTTCCACTGTTGTTAATTGGTTTGCAAGGAAGAAAGGGGGCGGAGTTCCTTGGGCGAGATGGAACAAAGGAAAGGGGGTGTTTACCTTTTCTTTTGGCATGCATTTATGAGATTTTGGCGAGTGGAGGGTTTTAGTGAGATCGACGGTGGATGGGTAGTCATAGACGGTGGGGGAGGTGGCGAAGTGGAGGTGGTTGCAGAGCTGGAGGCTAGTTCGGAGTTTCTTAAGTTGGCCGGCAATGATGGTTTTGGGTGTGGTGTTAGGAGAGGGCTTTCTTAAAAGTGTATGGGACTGAAATAAAAAAATTTGAAAAATTCATTTTGGTGCTTATAAAAAAAGTAAGAATGACTATGTAATTTTGTAAATTTGTGATGAAGGGTAATTGGGTCTTTTAAGGTAAAAAAAATACACTCTCAGTTGCAAAATTCGCGCATGCAACTCACGAGAAGCTGTTAGGGGCTTTTTCAGCTTTGACTACATTCCATAGGGGGGTTGTTGTCAATTGTTTTAACACGGGGGGTTTTATGGTAATTAGAGATTACAAAGGTAGGTTATTGATATTATTTATTGTTTTGTAATATCTTATAATTTTATATTTTTTTTATATCGATTATATTTTAATATGTGATTTTCTATATATTTGAGATTTATAATTATATAATTATTGTACTATGTAATATATTTATTAGGATTGTGTCTCAATAAGGGTTTGATATATATTTGATTCAATATTAATATATAATTCATATGTTTGATGAATTTCGAGCTCGTTTTTATTCACGGGTTTGAAACCTACTCTATACTATAAATGCAATAGAACACCCTTCATCGACATAGAAAAATAGGAATATAGGATGGACTACAAGGTGAAGACCTTATTTATAAATTATAATAATATTTGCATGTACATCCCTAAATCTTTGGACTTGCCGGTTTTGAAATAGACACGCATGCTAATCTTAGGACGACTAGTAAGTAACAAACCCTAAATCGAAAAATATACCATTTCGATCCGAGTTCTCTTAGAAAACAGCAGCACATAAAGTACCTTATTCCAGATTTTTTGCATTGTATTGACCATGGATGACGGAAGCTATACACGATTTAGTCCAAAGGTAAAGATGCGCACTTAGTCGGTACCCCTCGAAATTCATTGAGTCGCAGATGAAATCGATCCCGCCAACTTCCTCGAGTTTTTGTGGGGACAATCTAATTAATTTGTCGTAAGGTTTCCCCATCCTTCATTCTTGGAATCAACAATTTACCGAGACGACGTTGTTCAGATACTATGAAACTGTCCTCTTTTGTTGAAACTAATGCTCATTCAAGAAATATTAATCTTGTAAAATAATATCTAGAATAATCTATAGGACTCAAGGCTAGCTTGATACTTCTAGCCATAGAAGAATATTTAAGAATAACTAGGATTGTAAAGATAATTTTAGAGAAGGACTACTCTAGCAATTCTCTAGATTCATTCATGAAGCCTATAAATAGGCTATGAGTCATTGTAAACAAGCATCAACTCAAACCAAAAACTAATAAAGCCTTTTCCTTCAACTAAGTCCTATTGTCCCTTCTCTCCAAATAAATCAAACTATTTCCAAATTACTATCCACCACCTCTCATAAACTAACATTGGTATCTGAGCCTCGTTCGATCAAAAACTTGGGCGTTCCCTTCACTACATACTATTCCTAAAACTAACCTCTATTATTCCATTAACTTACACCATGGCCAATACACTATCTAACAACCAAATTGCTATTCATATGTTCTTCGGAGAAAAATATGACTATTGGTCTATCAAAATGAAGACCTTTAAATCTCAAGGCTTGTGGGAGATTGTCGACGAAGGGTTCACTACTCCTAACGACACTTCTAAACTCTCTCAATTGGAGAAAGATAAGTTAGCCAAGAATATGGAAAAAGACAACTTGGCACTCGACAACATTCAGATGGCTATGGTGGATTCAATTTTTTCAAGAATTAGCGGTGCTACAAATGCAAAGGAAGCGTGGGATACCCTGAATGGGGAGTTCCAATGCAATGCAAATGTACGAACTACTAAACTTCAAACTCTACGAACAGATTTGGAGAATATGAAAATGAAGAATTCGGAGACCGTAAATGAATATTATTCTCAACTAAGGGAATTAGTTAATCAATTAAGAGCTAATGGAAAAAATATTTCCGATAAAAGAGTAGTAGAGAAAATATTAGTCAGTCTCCCGAAAAAATATGATCCAATCGTTACAACAACTGAGGAGACAAATGATCTCGTCTTTCTCTCTGTCACGGAGTTGGTAGGCTCTCTTGAAGCATATGAGAAAAGACTGAGTAGGCGTGAAAGTGATTCAATGGAGAATGTATTTCAGTCTAAACTTAAAATTCGGTCTCAAAATTCAAGAGATAAGGAAAGAAAATTTGGAGAAAGTTCTAGAAGTGAAAATTCTAGAATTAAAGACAATTAAGGAGATAATTATGAAGATACGAAATCCAAATACCCGCCATGTCGCGTCTGCAAGAAAACTAGTCATCTCGAAAAAGATTGTTGATTTCGGGGAAAACTACAATGCCGAAATTGTGAAAAATTCGGACATGCCTAGAAGAATTGCCGCTCCAGACGAAGTCATCAGGCCAACTTCATAGAAAAAGATGAGAGAAAAGATTATCTATTCTATGCCATGCTGCGTCTGAAGTAAAAAAACGACACTTGGTACATCGATAGTGGTTCCAGCAATTACATGATGAGTAAAGAAAAAATCTTTGAAGATATAGACAAGTCCACGAAGACAAAAGTAAAACTCGGCAATGGAGCCCTGGTAGAAGCTGAAGGTCTAGGCACAATTGCTGTCAATACTAAGAAAGGTACGCGTCTTATTCAAGATGCCCTACTCGTGCCTAAACTCGACATGAATCTCATAAGCATGGGTCAGATGATGGAGAAAAGGATATTCTCTACTCTTTAAAGGTGACTTGTGCACAATATATGATAACAAAAATACAAGAAGGGAAACAGCAAAAGTTAAAATGCAACAAAAGAGAAATTTTCCTATAAACTGGCAGCACGTGGAAGTCATGAAGGCTCTAGAAGATGAGTCATGGCTATGGCACCGGAGGTTCACTTCAACTTTCATGGATTAACGATTCTTCACCAAAAGAACATGATGAAAGATCTTCCGGTTATTCACGAGAAGGACGACTTATGCGAATGATGCTTACTTGGCAAGCAGCAGAGGAAATCGTATCCATCAGGTAAGGCTTGGAGAGCCAAGAAGATTCTAGAGCTTGTGCATATCGATGTTTGTGGACAAATGAGGACTCCATTCTTGACGCAAAATAGGTACTTCATTCTTTTCATTGACGATTATACAAGGATGACTTGGGTCTACTTTATCCCACAAAAATTGGAAGTATTCAATATCTTTAGAAAGTTCAAAAACCTAGTAGAAAATCAAAGCAATCGGAAGGTTAAAGTTATAAGAATCGATAGAAGAAAAGAATATATCTCTAAAGAATTCAGCAAGTTCTGCGAAGATGAAGGAGTTGAAAACCAACTAACAGTCGGCTACGCTCCTAAGCAAAATGGCGTCTTCGAAAGAAAGAACCGAACGGTGATGGAGATGGCAAGATCTATGTTAGAAGAAAAAAGAATGCCGAAAATGTTTTGGGCAGAAGCAGTCTACACAGCCATCTATCTACTCAATAAATGTCCAACTAAGGCGGTGCAAAACCAAACACCTATAGATACTTGGAGTTGTCGTAAGCCGTCAGCGAAACATTTAAGAGTTTTTGGCGAGTATTTGCTACGTCCATATTTCAGCAGTCAAGAGGCACAAGCTTGAAGAAAAGACAGATAAATGAATATTTCTGGGATACAATACAGAATCCAAGGGATACCGGATTTGCAATCTCAAAACTAAGAAGCTTATCGTCATTCGCAATGTCGAATTCGATGAGAAAGCTACATGAGATTGGGATGAAAAAGAGATAATGAAGCAAAGCATCATGGTACCGAGAATATAAGGACCAAAATCAAATCATCAAACAGTAGAACTAGAAGAAACGCAGATTCCTCATGGAACTACTAGACGTGGAGAAATTACCGAAGAAGAAGAAGAAGAATCACCAAAGTCACCACCACTAAGAACAAGATTGCTCGAGGAAATCTACGAGTCGTGTAACTTTGTAACTATGGAGCCAAGGAACTTTGAAGAAGCATCAAAGCAAGAACTTTGGATAAAAGCTGTGGAAGAAGAATTAAGGATGATCGAGAAGAACAAGACATGGGAGATGGTAGATCGACCGTGTAACAAAGATATCATTGGAGTTAAGTGGGTCTAAAAAACAAAACTCAATCCGAAATGGCTCGATTCAGAAGCACAAAGCGAGACTTGTCGCCAAAGGATACTCACAATTACCAGGTATCGACTACACTGAAACATTTGTTCCCATTGCACGCTTAGACACAATAAGAGCATTTATTGCACTAGCTGCACAAAAGAGATGGATAATCTATCAACTCGACGTCAAGTCAGCCTTTCTCAACGGCTATCTTGAAGAAGAAATATATGTGGAACAATAACAGCGATTCGTAGAGAAAGAAAAAAAAGACAAAGTTTTTATTCTCAAGAAAGCCTTATACGGCTTAAAGTAAGCCCCACGAGCTTGGTATAGTCGGATCGATACTTATTTCACGAGTCGAGGATTTAGGAGGAGTCAAAGTGATCCTACTCTCTACATCAAGACACAAGGTACGACCGATATACTCATTGTCTCTTTATACGTAGATGATCTTATATATACGGGAAACAATGAGAGTATGGTTAAAGAATTCAAAGAAGATATGATGAAGACATTTGAGATGACTGATCTCGGATCACTTCATTATTTCCTCGGCATCGAGATAAACCAAAAAGAAGAAGGTATTTTCATCTCACAGAGAAAGTACACCGAGAGTTTACTAAAGAAGTTCAGGATGCACGATTGCAATCCGATTGCTACACTTGTAGTAACTAATGAAAACTAAGAAAGGAAGATGGATCACCAAAGGGGGACGATTCACTCTACAAGAGTATAATAGGAAGCTTGTTATATCTTACAGCTACAAGACCAGACATTATGGACGCCACAAGTTTGTTATCCATGTTCATGCAATGTCCGATTCAAGTACATTATGGAGCAGCAAAGACGACTCTTAGGTAATTGCAAGGAACGAAGGACTATAGAATTTGGTACAAGCATGTAACATACTCGAGTTTAATAGGCTACACCGGTAATGACTGGGCCAGATCATTAGATTGAGTTACCTACTGCCCTACAGAAAAACAACATGCAAATATTTTCACGAAGGCCCTTCCGCGTGCATAGTTTGAAGAACTGCGTACGATACTCGGTATCTCCAAAATAAGCATTAAGAAGGAGTGTTGAAATAATGCCTAATTTTGGAATATTCAAGAAATATTAGTCATGTAAAATAATATCTAGAATAATCTATAGGCTCAAGGCTAGCTTAATACTTCTAGCCATAGAAAAATATTTAAGAATAACTAGGATTGTAAAAAGAATTCTAGAGAATGACTACTCTAACAATTCTCTAGATTCATCCATGAAGCCTATAAATAGGCTATGAGGCATTGTAAATAAGCATCAACTCAAACCAAAAACTAATAAAGCCTTCTCCTTCAACTAAGTCCTAATGTCTATTATCTCCAAATATATCAAACTATTTCCAAATTACTATCCACCACCTCTCACAAACTAACATCTTTAATAAGAGGTGTGAATATTTCGACCCATTTCTTACACACAAATGCATAGCACCTCTCACAAACTAACATCTTTAATAAGAGATCTGAATATTTTATCTTTAATGAGAGGTCTGAATATTTCGGCCCATTTCTTACACACAAATGCATACCGATCTTTAATAAGAGGTCTGAAAATTTCGGCCCACTTCTTACACACAAATGCATACCGAGTGTAGGGATACTTTTGAAAGAACTAGCCGCGTCAAATCTTCATTATTATCAAATGATCGGAGAGATTAATTGAGAAAAGAAAATGAATACTAGTCTAGAGACAGAGCAAAATAGAATTAAAAAATTTATGTGAGATAATAATGAATTTCTTTCGTATGAAAGAATTAATAGTTATTGAGCTTATATGGATAGTTAATAATGAAACGTACTTTAGGAGATTAAATCATCTCTTTTTATTTTTGATTGATTAATTTACAATAATAAAATTTCAGAAATAAATTACTTCCTTGATTTCATAAATAAATTACATTAAATCATCTTTTTTTATTTTTGATTGACAATAATTATTTTTCAGAAATTAATTTATGCATGCGTCTAATTCATCCGTAATTGGTAATTCTTTGGAGAGGAATTACAACCTTTCATTTTTATGTTGGCAAATACGAATATTCACTCATTAATTGGCTGAAATAAAATGCTATATTATGCCAAATTTCCATAATTATTCCATAATAGATAAATCATCTATTTGAAAGTTAATCCGTGGCGCGAGCAAAATGGCATTTACTGTACACTTCTTACAAATCAATGCAAAAAAAAGTCACACTAGAACTCAATTAAGGTAAAATAATAATAATTATTATTAAAAAAAAAAAATCGATAATTTATATAACTAGGCAGGGCTTTTTTCGTTCCCAGTTATTCGAATGCCAGTCAATAAATAGCCACCAGATGAGCTCATCTGCATATGTGGATGAGTTCTTGATGGAAGAACCTGCAATATGTAAGATTATATGTAATTACTACGAGTAACAGATAGTATTACGAGCCGTTTTCAATAAAAAAAATATATTTTTATTAAAAATATTGTACATTATATAGAGTATCGAGAGTTGTACCTGATATTCACGCAACCAAGATTCCGAAATTGCATCCCACGCCGTCGTACCGCAGAAGAGTAGCTCCCCGCCCTTGACCTCCTCCACCTTCTTCTCCTCCTCGACCAGCACCATCTCCCGCCAACTCAACCGCTCAAAAAAAATTCAAAAAAATGCGAAACCCGAGATCCGGACAACCGGTCGAACGACGGCGGAAAACGCGAGTAATTACGGCGACGAACCGGCGGAGAGGTGGGATTCCGAAGAAGAAAAGGGGGGGATTTTTTTAAAGTTGAAAACCCTACTGCAGAGATAACCAACCACTAGTAATTTGCTTTGCTTTAATTTTAATTTTTGTATTTGCAGTGGAAAAGGGGAGAGCTGAGTGGGGATAAGGGATTTCACTCTGCGGTTTCCGAGATTTTTGAATCACTTTAATTTGGTAATTAATAAATAATTAATAATTAATCTAATTTAATTAGTTTTTAATTATTTCAAGAAATTAAACTGAAAAGGAGGGGCTGTTTGGGTGTCGTTGTCAAATAGATTTCGGCTTTTTTTTGCCTTTTGTTTGTCTTTTGTAGGGTTTTAAGGGGGTTCCCGCCCCGCGAGTTTTTTCCTATCGATATTTGGGGAATACATAGGTTAATATGTCAAAAAATTGAGATATAAACAGAGCAAAATATTTGTTAATCTTAAAAATTAAAATCTCATTTGAGTATTGGCTAATTTCAATTTTCAACTATAATTATTTCATCTTTTCTTAACACTAGTAATTTGGCCGTGCAATTCAATTGCAGGATAAACTATTAGTCGTGCACGGTGCACTCGATAATTATATTGTCTTCGTGTGTTGATGGGAGCAATATTTTTTTTCTTCTCGGAGGTAATAATGCATTATTTATAGATTACTATTTTTTAAATAGGATGAAAACATTTAAATTGCATTTCAACTATTAAATATTAATTAGTGAACAAAAAGACATTTATATGTCTTTTCTTTTCCATGATAATTAATTAGTAAAAAACTACTCTTTCATTTGAATTTTTTTTTTATAACTATTTTTCTAATATTTTAAATTCAATGCACATTCATTGCATACAGTTGTAGCTATACAACTCCAGGGTATCGACAATGTTGATAGTGCTATCAGATCGTCGTTTTATCCTATTGTCTCGCCTGCCCCGCTAAAGCCAACTGAACAGGCTACTTGATCTAACATTATATAACGAGTAACTAGAATAGAAAAGCCCTACTACATAAAACACAAAATAATTAAAGAATAGAGTATTAGTTTAAGTCAATTTGTTTGTGGCTGTGGGCTTTTTCCTTTTCAAATGATAATTAATTAGTAGAAAACTACTCTTTTATTTGAAAAAAATTTAACTATTTTTCCTAGCGGTCGGTAGGCACGCCCAGGGTGAGTTTTGAAAATCACCCGCCCCCTAGCAAAATCACCTGGATCAGCCACTTGGTCTAGTACCTGTTTCGTGCATGATTTTATTATATCAGCTCCCACCCCGGCATGGTCCGTATCCATAAAATTACGGTCGAACAATGCATTTATGATGTCCATTAACCTATATGTCACAACAATTTGAAACCATAATTGAGAGTTTTAATATGCACCGATCCGGTCAAGATTCACTTGATCTAACATTATATAACGAGTAACTACAGAAGACCTACTATGTAAAACACAAAATAATACTCTACAAATGTTCTACAATTTTGAAAACCTCATGAACTGGGATTTTGGACTAGTAAACGGCTTAATTCCACATTGCATCCTCCAAATATAGTATTTTGACACCTTTAGATTTTGGACTTCAGATTTTGGACTAGAAAACGGCTTAACTCCACCTTGCATCCTCGAAATATAGCATTTTAGCATTTTGCATGAAGATGCATGTTACAAATTGTAAACTAAGGAAAAAATAAATAAATATACTTATTTTTTCTTCATTAGCATAAAACTAAAATCTCAAAGCACAACTTTTTTTCTAGTAATTGAATATGAGAGGGTAGAAAATCGAAAACAATCGAGAACATAAAATCGGATTGTAAAATTGTGTTTATGTATATAGTAAAATGAAATATCCTAACATTAAAAAACATAAGAAAAGTATTTTCCTCCTCCTAGATCGCAATTTTAACGATTTTACTCCCTACTTCAACCGATTTTAAGGAACTTACGATTTCACTACAATTTGACTATTTGTAATGGTGCAAAACCGTAAAATTTTACAATTTTACAATTTAAATCCCAATTTTAACGTGCTTGTATATAAGTCACTAACTTATAACCAGAAAGGGGGAAACGACAATCTAAAAAATGGGGATACGGGAGCTTGGGAGAAACGTGTAAATATTAAAATTATAGGGGGTTTTTTATAAATAGGCTATATGAAAATTGTATAATCGTACAATCGTTATTAGTAATTATTTTATATTTATATATTACGATTGATTGATAGATTCATAACTCGTAAATTTGAAGTTAAAACATAAGAGAAAACATACTGAAATATAAAACATATATTGAAGTTGAAAAATTGATGAACATGATATGGATATCCTTGCGAGAACCAATAAATTCGGTTTTTACGAGATTAACAAAAAAAAAAAAAAAAAAAAAAATCGAAGTTTAATTTGGTTCGGGTTCTTTCCGTTTCTTGTATGTGTATAAAAAAAATAATTAAGTTGAAACTACGAATGCTTATAAAAAAACTTCATCGACAAACTTGCCGTAGAAGTGAGACATCGAAAGCCAATAGGACCGACCGACTACAAGGTGAAGACGTTGTTTATAATAATATTTGCAAGTATAGTGTAGATACTAAATTACGGTTAAACCATGATTCGAACAAGTAAATAACAAACTCTAAAGCGGTAAGTTAAAATTTACGAATTGGGAAATCATGTGCATGAAAACGGCAGACGGGGCACAAATGGCTTTTCATCAACCACCGAACAATGCAATGGTAATGAAAAGAATGACCGCATGCAAGCAACGACAACTGAGCTCCAATGGTGGGATTACACAAGCAAATCGAACACGTATCCATTACACTCAACCCTTGATCAACATCTTCAACCCTAATCAGTGGCAAACCCGACCTTAAAAAAAGCCTAAGATCTAAGTCAACACGGCGAATCGTGAGAAGCCGGTTCCTAGGCGAAAGATGCGGCCAGAGGTAAAGTGGGGGCAAGCACTCTTCCCTAATAGCCCTACCGAAAGCGTCATCCAACGTCTCTCCCTCTAGCTGCAACGTGCAAACGTCGAGATCCACCGTCACCAGAACCACATCCACCGGGTGGGGCGAATTTAGTGCGGTCTGTTTGGCGAAATCCAAAGCCCTAGAAGCCAAAAGTAAAGATTCTTCAGCAGGCATCCAATATGCTGTTTCAAGCCTTGGACTCATCGTCATTTGTAGAAGCCATTCCGGACCGTCGTCCTCAAAAGACGTCTCGAAAATCTCCGACCCCATCAAATCTTTTTCTTTATCTTCTTCTTCATCATCATCAAGCAGCCTTTTTTTTGTAAGTATGAAATTGGTTCTAATCTGAAAGAAGAAGACTTGAGTTCCACAGAGATGGATGATTTCGTCTGGATATATCTCATCGTTCACACGAAATTTATAGTTGTATTCGAACCCCGTTCTCGCACCCATCATCATCCTCTGTTTTTTTCTTTTCAGATAATTGTTTTTGAGTAAACGCGCGATTTGGGAATTTAAAATTGTGAAAATTAGGGTTCTATACGAAGGGAAATTAGGGGAATTTGAATTTGAGTAGGATTAGAATTACTTGGGGGTACTGTAGTAAACATTATACAAATAACCGCCTATTATCATCATATATAATGGGCTTATAGTACTTTGTTGCAAGAACATGAACCTGTGAAGTAAGGTTAAATTATGGAAAAACCTCTTATGTTTACATAACTACACTCATCTCTTCAACTTTATATTATTTTACGAAAAAATCCCTCTATTTGATAAATGTAGGGGCATTCATTTGATAAAAGTTGTACCGTAATTTCGATACGCCAAAATTTCACACCGTTTAGCGATCGATTCACTAAATAACCGAATTACCGAAAATTTTATTAAAAATATATTAAAATCTGATTTTTTTAAATTAATTTTAATTTAAATACTAATATTTTATATATATATATATATATATATATATATATATATATATATATATATATATATATATATATATATATAGATATATATATATATACCC